TGTCAGTTGTTGATGTCTTTATAACCAGTAAGGGATATTGTCAGTAGTTGATGTCTTTATAACCAGTCAGGGATATTGTCAGAAGTTGATGTCTTTATAACCAGTCAGGGATATTGTCAGTAGTTGATGTCTTTATAAACAGCCAGGGATATTGTCAGTAGTTGATGTCTTTATAACCTGTCAGGGATATTGTCAGTAGTTGATGTCTTTATTACCAGTCTGTGATATTGTCAGAAGTTGATGTCTTTATAACCAGTCAGGAAACATGTCAGTAGTTGTTTTAAGACAATGACAATTTAAAGCTTGACATTTTGTTAACTAGACACTAGTATATATAATTCACATACAGCTTATTATATTTATCATATATTTAGAGTAAAAAAAATATTTTTTTACAGTTTGATATTAACATTAAATTATCGTAAAACTCATATTGTTTGAAATGGTATTAGTGGACTAAGATGGAAAATTTGTTATTGCTAAGGAAATAAAACCTTTCCCCAGAATCAGTAACTGTTCATTTGGGTATTGAAATTTTTGCAACATGAATTGTCCCATTGAATAAATTCAAAAGCTATGTTCTCTGCTGAGTTCATTAAATGAGAATTTAAATTTCTACTTGAAAAACCAGTCATTCATTGATTAATTTGGTTGTTCCAAAAAATAAACTCCTAGTGAAGACAATATATATACCAAAACTGAAAAATTTATAACAAATTTATGTTATTCACATATATGTCTTATTTGTCAGTATAGTCAAGTTTATTTCCATTTTCCATGGATAAAGTATTGTGTTAGTCCAATAATTATGACGTCGTCACAGCATTTATTTAAAATAGCTTTTCAATACTGTCATAGTCATGATAATTGTTTGGACTAGTATTGTGAAAATAATTGTATGAATTTCAAGATTATATATTTGTTACAAAAATACGTCACTGTTTGTGGTGTCCTGTGCTGTCGTTAATGGAAGATGTTCGTTGGTATTCTGCGGTTTGCATGTTGTAACGACTATTATATTATTTATTTGTGCATTTCTCTGTGCTGAGTGTTCTTGCGTTTGTTTGTGCTGTATTTCTGTCACGTAGTGTTGTCATTTTAGCGATATTTTTTAACATTGCCATATAAGCAGGAGGCTTGGCTAGCCATAAAACCATGTTCAACCCACCATTTTTTCTTCAAATGTCCTGTACCAAGTCAGGAATATGGCAGTTGTTATCAAATAGTTTGTTTTTGTTGCACTTCAGTGTTTCTATTGTTCCGTTGTTTTCCTCTTATAGTTGATGTGTTTCCCTCAGTTTTAGTTTGTAATCGGGATTTGTTTTCTCTCAATCGATTTATGACTTTTGAACAACGGTATACTACTGTTGCCTTTATTTATGCAATTATAGACTACTGAAGAATAGATTTTAACTTTATTTGGTCAGTACAGAAAAAATAGAACTTTTGTTAAAATTTATGAGAAAAAGCTGTAGAGAATTTTGTTTGAAATAATGCACTAAAATATATTGCAGATGAATTATATCAATATAAGATAAGGAGATATGGTAGATTGCCATTGAGACAACTATCCTCCATAGTCCTAATAACATAGATGTTAGCAAAAACATGTCACTGTATATGCCTTCAACAATTAAGTTTGGTTTTATAGGGATAAAACGTTAGGCTGGTATAGCAATGCAGTCAACATTCTCCTCAAACAATCTAGTAACCCACTTAATAGCCTACAGTAGAAATTATTTTGTTAAACATTTAATAAATTTATACAACATCACATGCTGGTTTTGTGTGTCATTATTCAGTATTGGTACATGTATTTTCATCACAAGGAGTTTATTTTTCAGTACAGCCAAATTAATCAATGAATGATTGTTTTTTTCATGGAGAAACTTAAAGTTCCCATTGATTGAACTTTACACAGACACAATAACAGCTGTTGTCTTTATTCAATGGGACAATTCATGTTGCAAAATTTAAATACCCAAATGAACAAGTACTGATTCTGGTGAAAGGTTTTATTTCCTTTACAATAATTGATTCCGGTAATTATTGCATGTCTGTTTGTAGTCGCTTGGCATATTCTGGGAAAATATAAGTCAATGTGACCTTTTCAATGAAATAAAAGCACAGAAGGGATTAAAGACAAATATGAAACAGGAAAATGTATTATGGAAAATGCAAAACAAATATTACAATACATGTATTGTTTTCAAAGTTCAAAAACTTAAGTATTGCTCTATTAGAACCACATTGTTAAAAGTATTTCAGCAATTTAAAATGTATTACTAAAATGTTTGAATACATTTTTTTAGTACTAAAACATCAGTGTGTATAAATCTATAGAAAATATGAGTATGTTTAAAAGTATTTTACAGTTAAATATTTCTTAAATATAATCAAACATATTCAACTGCCAATGTTGTAGACTTGCAGGATTCTGTTTTTTGAGATTGATAAATTTTAGAAAAACATTTTTATACGATGATATTTTTCCAAGTAGAAGTATCATGATAAAAAGATTATTACACGACATTTTTCATATCATATTATCAACGCTTGGTCCATTATATTATGACCTAGGATTGTTATACATTTGATATGAAAACTGTCCTGTAATAAAATGATTGTGTTAATTTTAGTCCATTATGCATAAAAGTACCGGGAATCATCAATTATATAGTAGAAAAATAAAGGATATGGGGTATCCATCCATGACACAAAATCAGTAAATGCACAGCAAAAAAACATACAATAAAAAAAGGAACAGTGCTTGTATTGCTGTTCTTCATCTCAAAGTCACAGTGAGGCCTTCAACACCAAAACTAAAAAACTCTCACCTCACAGCAAGTTTAAGACAGCCCCTAGCACCGGCTTGAGTGAAATTCTTTGCAAAAATAAATTTGGATAGACTTTGTAAGATGTATAGGACTGTTAAAACCTGAGTTCAGTTTTAATTGACATTGTCACCCGAATGTCACTACCAAATTTAAAAATGATGAACCCTTTTTTTTTTTTTTACATTTTCTAAATGTCCGACTTACCAAATTCTTATAAATCTGATGTTACATTTACTTGAAACAATTTTTACAATGGATTTTGAATTAAACTGTTTTGAAGTTTTATATGGTATGAGTCTTCCTAGTATAAAACAAACATATTTTACTTTGATGACTTTGAAGAAATACAGTTTCCCCTGTACTGAAGTGTAAATCATGTTGTCAATGGTTGTAGTGTTCAATATATTTATAATCATGTCCTTCTAGTCAATATATGGTAAGTGTAGCGGTGCTTCCCCTTACAAAGTAGATTTATTACTGCCTTCAATTAGCTGTGATAGTTAAGTACTCTTTTAAGTTTAAGCTAGGTTTGTAGAGTAGTGTCTAACTGTGCCAGTGTTCCTGTGGGCAATCCCAAGTTAATACTGCATGTGTTCATTTTTTAAGAAAAATCATGACGTACTATCACATTAAAAAGTTGTCAGTTGTCAGCACATTATTTAGGGAATATTTTTACCATGTTGTAATGAAGTTACCTATTATTTTTTTTGTATCAACATGAAAACAAATGACCATGGTTGTTTTGCATAAAACTGTGTTTGTCAAATTCTACTTTTTTAAGGTTAAATACCGTAGTGAATCCTAGGTCGACATTTATGCTCACTTCTTGACCTCATGATTTGAGTATAAAATAAGGAGATATATGGAATGATTGCCAATGAGACAATTATCCAACAGAGTCTAAATGATGTGGATTTAATCATCAAATATCTTTCAACAATGAGCAAAACCCATACCATATAGTAAGCTTTTAAAGGCCCACAAATGACAAAAGGTGAAACAATTCAAGAAAAAAAAACCAACAAACAATTATATCTGATATTTTCTTCAATTAAAAGATTTGATCTTGTGAAGACTTATATAGCTGGTATAACGGTATTATAACCCATGGTAGAATGGTGGAAAAATTCAAAATCCACTTGTGAGACATAACAATTACTATACGGTGGCGGTGGCATAAACAATTTGTACAAAGCTTTATATTTCAGATAGAAGAATACAGGGATGCTTACAAACCTTATATGGAGATGCCTTATGTTACAAATTGTCCATCTGTCATCAGCCTATTGTCATTGACCTCATTTTCATGGTTCAATGACTACTTTAAAAAAAAAGTAGTTTTTATGTCCCTGCCGTAGGCCAACTATATTTGGTATATGGAATTATTATTAGGTGTACTTGTCCGACTGGCAAGCTTCATGTAACCTTGACCTAATTTTGTGGTTCATTGGTTATTGGTAAGTTTTTTTGGTTTGGTATGTTTCTTAGATACTATAAGCAATAGATCAGCTGTATTTGGTGTATGGATTGATTGTAAAGTGTGTATGTCTGTCTTGTAGGTTTCATCTGACTTTAACCTTTTTTACATGGTTTATTGAACAGTGTCAAGTTCTTGTGGTTTAGTCTATTTCTCAAATACTATAAGCAATAGAGCCTTAATATTTGGTGTTTTGAATGATTGTAAGGTGAACATATAAATAATAAGACGTAGTATGAGTGCCAATGAGACAACTCTCCATCCAAGTCATAATGTGTAAAAAGTAAACAATTATAGGTCTAAGTACGGCCTTCAACACGGAGCCTTGGCTTACACCGAACAGCAAGCTATAAAGGGCCCCAAAAAGATATCTGTCAGGCAGGTTTCTGCTCATTTTATTTAACCTCATTTTCAGGTTCATTTGGTCAATTTAAAGTTTTTTGTGGTTTTGACATTAATCAAATACTATAAGCAATAGGTCAACTATATTTGGTGTATGGAATGATTGTATGGTTTACATGTCTGTCTGTCAGGGTTTATCTAACCTTGACCTCATTTACACAAATCATTGAGAATGTTAAGATTATTTGAAGTGAAACTTTCTTATAACAACTTTCAACATAAATTTAATCATGATTTCTAAAGCAGGTGAGACATTTCAGTGTGCTTTCTTGTTTATTTTTCAGAATCGATTTGGAGAGTTTGTAAAGCAGTTTAGAGAGCATGGTATAGATGGAAACAGATTTGTGGTAAGTCAAACATGAAATGTTCTTGCTTCAGAATATCACTTTCGCCTAGATGATTGCTAAAAGTTCAAGTTTCTGCTAACCTTATTCTGTCACTGTAAAATCCAGGAATAAGGCGAAAGGAGTGGGTCAGAACTATGATGACTAGAACACATCTCAGAGAAAATATATGTTTTGTAAAGAATACAGGATACATAAAAAGTATAAAAGGAATAACCTAAATTATTGGAAAGTAGACGAGGATTGTGGGGCACCCTTCCTTATGGAGCTTCATACATGATAAATGCATAGACACTCCAAATGTTGGCTTGCAAGGAAGCCGGCGACCCTTTTCAAAATCCTGGATCTGCAACTGGACAGTACAAAATGCTACCATCCACAAACAAAGTTCTCCTCCAGATGTACAAACATAGACACACACAAACCAGATAGCCTGACATGGTACAGGCACACAATGTGGTGGAGTTAACCAGTTTTATGTGTGTATTTACTTTCTTGTTTGCCTGTCTAGACCATATGTGGTAAAAGTAAACCCACAAAAAATAAAAACAACTTTTGGAAGATTTCTTAACTGATATGCCGCAAATATTGTAATTTAATTTTGTTTATTGCATTGATATTGTGTTGAAAAATTGCATAATTTGTATATTTCAATTTTCAGACTTTATCTGATCTAGAATTATCAAGGATGAATTGTCCAATGGCCAAAAGAAGGTAATTTAACAGTAATTTGATTGGACACTTAGTCACAGTAGTTGTGTTGATAATAGTATTTTTGATGTAAATACTGAAAATGAAATGTATGGTGAACAACGAAGCTTTATAGATAGTTAATAATGTATTTTTTTATGAAATTTCTTTATAAGTAAATACTATTCTTATTTGGTTTTACTATAGCTTTTCATTCATTTCTATAATTTTTAATTTAAAACTGACAATAATACTAAATTGCTTTTGGATTACTTATAACATCCAAGAGTTGATTGGGAATGATTTTGTTGTTGGGGAGATGTGTTTTTCCAAACCCCATGAAAACAGAGACCTGTACATCAAACAATATTTTCATTTCTATATAATTAAAAAAGTGGAATTTTTTAATTAGAATTTCATGGAAACAGAAAACTCCTGCTTTCCAGTTCTAGAACAGACCCTTTTTTGCTGAACAATAACTTTTATTTTGTCAACTTAAAGTGCTATAAATCATATGTTTTTTACAGTTATATGAAATTTATATATTACCATTATTTATTTTTCAGAGATTTGCTGAAATTGGTTAAAGAACTTCCAAAGCCAGCAGAGTCATCAAGGTTTGCATTGATCTTAAACAAGCTAAAGACTTAAGATATTTAATCTGAATTACCTCCCTTATATCAAAACTTGATTGGTTTGATTGTAATATAAATAATCACTTCGAATATAACAGGGAAACTATATACATTACAGTGCATTGTTGTATTTGTTTATTCCTTAGTATATTTTAACCAAGAAAAAATGCATTTGTCTGCAAAATTATATTATTTTTTAAGGTTTGAATCAATTATGTTGTATATGAAGAGACCGTCTCTCTGGTCTAGTGGTAGCGTGTTCGCCTCAAGTGCGGGAGGTTGTGGGTTAGAACTCCGGCTGGGTCAAACCAAAGACTTTAAAATTAGTATTTGCTGCTTCTCCGCTAAGCACCCAGCATTAAGGAGTCAGAGCAAAGACTGGTCGGCTCGGAGTCAGAATAATGTGTCCTGGTAAGGTGACATGTCTTCCTGTGGACTGTTACTTTGTGAACTACCACGTTAAAAATCTGGCTCAGAGTGTTGGTCTAGTGCAAAGCAAGGTAAATATTCATATTACATTAACATGTTCTCGTCCTGAATATGCATATTAATTTCCTGCTGGACATTAAGCAGCCATCCATCATCCATCATCATCATCATCATCATCATCATCTGGTCCGAGTACACAGTTATCGTCCTTTGATTTTCGTTGTCCACGAATAAAGTCCCTAGTGTGGACAGTGTGTTGCTTGCCAATTTTTTTAGTACCCCTTCCAAATGTATTCCTTCATGTTTAATGCCTCAAATAGCAAGTAGGGGGATGAAATTACACTGTAAAAAAATTTGGGTCATGAATTGTAAAGTAAAGTAGTGATTTGGTCCAGCTGAAAAAGGTTAAAAATTAGCACTTCGGAAGCTGTCAAAAGATTTCAAGACCCCCTTAACATAGAATTGTCCATATTTTGAGTTAGAGCCGATGAAGTTTTCTATAATTTTGATATAATTTGTCCCAAAAGTAGTACAACACACTGTAAAAATATTATTGAGAAAGCGCAGGTGGGATTTTTTTTATTTTCATTTATTGTCTAAAAGAAATGCACTACGAAATAACTGTGTACTCGGACCTAAGAGGCGAAATCAGTAAATATAGAATCTGTACTTTGGCAACTTCCCTGAATGATTTAATGGTGTCAATTTGTCAGATAGCATGAAACTAAAGGATTTAAACTTTTATTTGATAGAAATTCTGCAAAAATTACCCATTTTGGCATTATATGGTCAAAATAAGCATTTCAAAGCTTTTTCAATTTTGATGCATAAGTGGCATTCTGACTTTCTATGTGACAGGTTTTCCTGTGTCAATATTTGTGTTTCTATGCTTTAACCCAGTTGTATTACTCATTTGTGAACTCTGAATCTACAGAAAATAAGATTATCTCAGACAATATGTGCAAAATGTGTTGCATAAATGACCCTCGTGTAACGGCCTGTTTGGATCAAGTTAAATGTGAGGACCTAGGTACATAAAAGTTGAAGTCCATAATAAAGATTTCACTAAATTTGTATTTAAAGCACTTCACAATGTCTTTTGTACCTGTTTCATTTCACATAGTATCTTTCTTTTCTTATGTTAAATAGCAAGTGGTTCAAATATAAGCCTGCTGAGGCTAAAATTGCATGCGAGTTTTTCACTAAAAAGTGAAAAATCTTTGTATCAGACCATACTGTCTGCAAAAAAAGTAGAATGCAAGAGTCCCTTTATGCTCAGATTTATTGTATCATGTAACCTGAGTATAGAAATTATAAAAAAGACACAAATTTTTATTTCCTATAGCTTCAGTATGCATTTTTAAATGTAAATATGTGCTACGGCCTAAATTGACCCTAAATTATTTTCAGTCTTACTTGGCTTAAGACCCTTTTATACTAATATGGTATGCTATTTGTAATTTTTCTTTCCATTTAAAGTACATTTAATACATATGTAAGGATTATTTATAACCAAAAAACTCCACAAATTTAAAATTGCTGGAAAATAATACATCTTCATGTAAGGCCCCCCTTCATTGGAAAACCTCCATTTTTTGGCACAGGCTCATATAAATTTGACTTTTAAATAATTGTGATAAGTCTGATAAATCAAATGAGTATTCTATTGCTTTAAATACATAATATGTCATATATAAAGCCCTTTAAAATGTAATTTTTTGCAATATTTTAATTTTTAAAGCCCCAAATGTTGATAGTTGAAATTTTTCAATTTAAACGTCAAAATTTAACACGCGATGTTGAATATAGAATTTATCATATTGTCTATAATATATATCCTATTGCCATGAAACTTTGTCAGCAGTCTCATAATTTATTAAGCTTTAGTCATACCAAGTTTTATTAAGATTGGTCAAATTTTTCTATCCTATTAGGTCCGAGTACAACACACTGTAAAAATATTATTGAGAAAGCGCAGGTGGGATTTTTTTTATTTTCATTTATTGTCTAAAAGAAATGCACTACGAAATAACTGTGTACTCGGACCATCTTGTATATGTAGAAAATAAGATTAATGTAGTATAATTTGACTTGTAGTAGATACAGAAGGGTTAAAAGACTAATTAAGGCAAGGAGACATACAGTTGTCTCTGTTATATATCAATCAGTTGACAGGTATTTCAAAGTTTAGGTTTGCATGCTGTCTTTATTGGTGTTGTTTTTTTTGGTTTTTTTTATCTATGCATGTTTGGATTTCTGCAGTATAAATCTGATACTCACATTCATTTCCCTAGAAAAGAAGGGTGTCAAGCAATCATTGGTCTATATAATCATTCCAATACTCAAATATTTCAAGGTGTCTACAGAGTCTGGTTTAGGGCTTAATACATGAATATTTATTTAGTAGACAGAAAGTAAGATTTTGGGTAACTATAAGGGGAGAAAAAAAAAATGAAAAGATCTTTTGGCTGAGGTATTCCTTAGACTCCATACTTGATTAAAATTCAATACTTTTAAGGGTAATAAGGGGAGGTAAAACATTTCTTATTTACCTGTCCTGGGCCAGGCCCTGTAACCTAGGGGTTGTTGTTGGTTATTGACTGCCTGAATTGTTTTTTTTTCTTTCTTATTGTGTAAATCAGGCCATTGGTTTTCTCTTTCGAGTGCCATTTTTGGAGTGAACATTTCCTCTCCTTGGAACTAATTAACAGAAAGAACAATTAGCATTGATCCTTTGGAGAAGAAAAATTGACAAAAATGTCCTGACTATGTAATTATTCTTCATCATCTGATGATTCTGATCACATGTCCAGTTTTATGTTTTGTAGTAAAGAATGTCCAAAGAAAAAATAAGGAAGTTAAACCCATTTTATTTAAATTATTGATCGTTTTGTTATATATACATGTACTGATAGCAATGCCAGGTATCCAACCTTATAAAGATGGTGGCACTAGTTGTGCTGGAAAACCATCCTGGCTATGGTAATCTTTGTCTTTTAAGGGAGATGTAGGATTCAGTGTATGGTTATATTTTGATTTTGGTTAAGGTAAGGGGATGGTCAGGGATAGGGTAAAGATAAGATTAGACCATGCATTTGTGTAGATTTTAGATTTCCAAATCCTAATTTTTAGAGCTAATTTGTATCCTGTTTCTAAAATGAACACATGCTCAAGATAATTATTTGGAAAATGCTGAAATTGATAAAATCAGTGGTCATCTTTTGACTCTGCTCTATTAATTTTCTTCGATTTCTATTGCTAAATTTTATTCTTAGACTAATAAGTATTTGATTTTTATCAAATTGTTTTGTTTTATTTTTTTAATTGAAACAAACATGAATATTTGAGAATTTTGATAGTATTTAGTTCAACTTCTCAAATTAAAAAAAATAGCCTTTTTCTGTTGTTAACAAATTTTTTGGCCTATTGTAACATAAATGGTTTTTTTTATATAAACGGATGTTCCGTTTATAACTTGCCTCATGGAAGTATACCACAGTTGCTCAGCCGTTTATGTTACTGGAAGGTTCTGTCTGTGCTTTCGATCCAGGTCTTGGGACAAGTTACTGACAGTCCTCAGAACAAAATCCAATACAAACTGATAACATGCAAGTGTCAGCGACTAGAATTGACAAGAGGTGAAGATTGCCCCAAGTAATGTATTCGCTCATATATAACGAAAAAATCAAGATTGATAAAACAGTATCATATTTAATACACAAAGACAACAAAACACAAACTTCGCTGTATCTCCTTATGAAATTTAAACAGTGAATGTTCAATACATTTTCATATTCAAACTTCACTTTACTGGATAAGACTGGATGCTGCACTTTAGGGGATAATACTGGAAGCTGCATTTGCAGTGAAAAGAAAACCCATAATGAATTATCCAAGTAAAATAAAATTGTTTTGCATTAGTGCTATAAGTTTGTTTAAAATACTCAATTCACATATTAGAAATTTAGACGTGACTCATTACTTGAAAAATCAAGAACTGTTTGCTAGTCGTTTTTAAAAAACTAATTTCAATCAACAAGTTCATGATGAAACACATTCCGACTTCCTAGGAAAAAATACAATTGGTTCCCACTGACTTTTTTAAACTGGAACATGAACCTCTTAATTCATGCACCAGGGACCAAAGTCAGTCCAGTAAAAAAAACATTACCTAAATCAATTCCTGTTTAAATCCTGATCCATGCAGAGCAATGTCTGATACTCATCATTCAGTAGCATTGATTAGTGCAACACCTTAAAAACCATGTGATAAAACAAAAATTTTAATTTCTGAGTAAAGCTCGAACAAAGACTGACAACCAGTTACTCCTTAAATATCCTTCTCTGATTAACCATCTTCTTTGATATCAATATCAATACATACCTAATCTCTTTTTTAACCTGATACTCATAAAATAACTAGCTATCCAATGAGTGTACAATTCTTTTTATATTTGGAACAGAAACATTTAACTATGAATTTAAAATGTGTGACTTTAAAAAAACAAAACATAAATCAATTGTAAAGAAACTCAATAAGATTAAATTAAAGTACAACCTACCAGTACGAAAGATTTCCCCAATCTAAAGAAATATTGTCCATACAAGGTTTAAATATCCATTCTGGACATCAAGTCTCAAGTATGAGAAAAATTATCCCTTCCAAAACTTTTAAGAACAACACTAAGGTTATATGTAATAACTATAAATAGAAAAAGGGGATTTACACAACCTATAAAAGTTACAATTACCCCTACCTTCAAAAACAAATTGTCTTTGATTTGACAATTAAGGAAAACAGTTTCATAGACAAGACACAGTTGTCTTAAAAAAATTATTAAATTGTATTGACCAAGAAAAGTATATACGTGTATATCTAGTTTGACAGTTTAGAATCAAAAATCCAATGGCGTGTAAAAATAGAATTAAAAATCCAATGGTGTGTAGTAATAGAATAGAAAATTCAATGGCGTGTAGAAATAGAATAAAAAATCTAATGGTGTGCAGAAATAGAATAAAAAATTCAAAGGCGTGTAGAAATAAATGTCTCCATTTCATTTGGTTGTTCAATTAAATGGATAGTCCAAACGGTGAACTTCTTTCCAAAATGATTGAAAAATATTCCAACTGTAAACTAGACAGCAAATTCTATGTAATTCAAAACAGATGCCATAAATATTTCAGAATCTTCTATTACTCTAATAGATTTGTTTCACCTATACTGAAAAATATTAACATACAAAGGATAGTATCAAATCAAATAAGAAATTTCTAATTAATCAAATACTGACAACCATATATCTGAAAAATATTTACGAGCACAGCACGAAGATTTGGGAAAGTAGAAATATCAAAATAATGTAATTTTAGATACATGTAATCTTAATTGAAATAAGACCAAGAAACTGTTTTATACGTGAAAATTAGTATCGATAATATATGCTATGAATTAATATATTTAATGCATTTGATTATACAATGTTTTCATATGTGTGTGCTAAACCCAACTACAGCAGTACAGTAATCAAACCAAACAGAGATATTACAATCTCATGCAAATTTATGTATGTCAAAGTGAATTTATGTTGCCCATGACTGTTATAGATATCTATATGCATACTTCCATACTGTGAATTTCAGTTCATATATAAATACTGTGCATAGTTATACCAGTACTATGTTTCCAGCTAAAACACCATCAAAGCTTTATGTAGCGATGTATAGGCAGAGCTTAGCTAATATATTGTATGTGTCTATTATCAGGGCAGTTTTACTGTACCCCTGTTCAACTGGTCATGTGGGTGTACCATATAAATCATGTATTTTATATATACAATCACATAAATGTGAATTTTAAAATATGTATTTGTGTATTTTCTCATGCACCTTAAAATTTAGGTTTAGCACAGTATTTTTATTTTATTTTAACAATCAAACGCAGTTTCCACCTCATTATTTATTTACCATACATAAACACATTTTATCACAAGACACTGCTCTAATTTTGTAAATCTATTACCCATAAGAGAGCACCAGTGAAAGGCTAGCTTTCATAACAACGATTTCAAAATCCCTCTTTTCAAAAAAAACAATTTAGTAATCTTTAGATTACTCCCAATCAATACATTGACTATAACTAACATATATGCACAGGCAAACTGGCCATTAAATTATATTAAATACATGCAATAATAATGAACATGAGAAGATTCTTTGCGATAACAATAATTTTGAGATAAAGAGAGTCAAATGATAAATTATAATTATAAGTAAATCATGTACAGAAGACAGTTTGTAAGAATGTGATCTGATGGTTACATAAAACTTTGGTTCTGATTGCACCACCAGGGTTCTCGCTAGGGATGTCCATCAGTCCTGGATTATTAGGAAATTCTGTAAGCTAATAAAAGGCATGACAAAATGAAAAACAATTCAAACGAGAAAATCAGTGTCCTGATTTATGATAAAACACTAAATGAAAAACAAATACGACAGTTTTTAGATATAAACCATGAAGTTTTGTGACTTGTATGAAATGGCAATGGATTTTAGACTCAGATTTTGCTGAACAAATTTAAAGGCCATTAATTTTTTTTGACAGAGTGAAGAATATAGTACAGCCACAAATACCTTCCACCCCAAGCCGTGATTATAACCCACCTCACCATGGGAGACCACCACCACCAATACCTGCTTCACAAGCACAAGTCAATGGAGGCAAGTATAAGCATAATAAAGATATTTGATTCAAGAATCAACAAGTTTTAAACTGGCATCCTTATCATTGAGCAAAGCACTAGGTAAATATAGATTCTACCACTGCATCAAGTGTGATATGATATTTATCCACTCCAGACAGTTATATTTTCAAATTTAAAAATGTGAGGCTCGCCGAGCATTTTAACTATTTAAAATTTAACTGTCGAGAGTGGATAAATATCTTATTGCACGAGATTTGGTGGTGGAATCTGTTTCTCTTATGATTTATAGGCGATATATAGACAATTTTTAATACTTCTTTTCAAATGGTATGCAAAAAGATGCGTTCTTTCTATGTGACGTCATCAGGCATTGTCTTCTTTATTCATGACGGTACTCACAATAACAAATTCAGAGAAAAGCAAGAAAATTTGACGTCATAACTGAATTTTGACCAGTGAAGAAATGAGATCAAACGAACCACACATTGATTAAATAAAGATTATCAACAGGTCAGGAAAAGGTTAAATCGACTTAGAATTAGAGAAACAAAAATAATAAACATTTATTAAAAATAGTTTCTGTTTTGTTTTGTACTATTTTTTTTTATTTTTTCAGTTTTGCTATAAAAACAAAGGTGAATATTGACAGTTAAAATATGTTATTATGGAAACATATAAATAACTAAACAAGTAAAAATACACAATGGAAAAATCAACTTTCTCATAACAGTTGAAAATGTGCACAATATTATTATACACAATAACGTGCCACTATAATTATTTGAATATCATAAAAAGATAGCATTCAATGTTACAAACATTGCTGCCTACTCTTAATTTCACTATACAAGAGTCAGGATTTAAAAGGAGTACTTTGCATATGTATAATAATAACTATGATGCAATAATTACCAGAGAATGATGATGATGATGATGGTTCCGGACCAGAAGATGATTATGAATGGGGTGCATCAGATTTTTCAGATGTTTCATCAGAAGAGGTAGATTTTTACGTGATGTTGATTTATCATCAAAATGGAACTTTATTCATCTATAGTTTACTTGTATCAATAATTTGTCCCCTCCCCTTAATAAGGGGGACCTGTCAACCTATTAGAAACGGTTTCAAACCTCAAGGGGGTGGGGGAAATAACATGCCAATTGATAATTTAAAAAGACTTCTCTTATGTTTTCACTAAAAAGGGCAATATAATGTACACTTTATGTGAAAACTTACTAAATATACAAAAGAATTTAAAAATAGAGAGATATTTTGTTCTGTGAGGAAGACAACTTTTATGTGTACAATCAATGCTAATTAAATGAAGTCTTTTTCTCCTTATAGGGGACAGTTGACAGGTATGAGGGAGGAAGGGTGAAAAAAAGGAAAATTTATCATCAAATAAGCATAAAAGATGACTCATATTTAAGACTGGCAAATTATGTAGCTATAAAAAGTTGAGTAAATAAAACAAGTGAACTATGTTGATTTAAAGTTTCATTACATGCATGTACATGTATGAGTACATCAAGAAGGAAGGAAGTCATGTGATAGACTTTTATAAAACATAAAAGCAAAAATAGAAAGTATCACATGATTTCCTTTTTATCTTGATCAGTAGGGTGTTTGGATTTAGTATTGGAATATAGTGCCATGTTGTATAACATTTGATTGATTTAAATGAGTTATATAATTAGATTCAGATTCAGAAGATGAGGCAGAATGCCAATGGGACTCAGAATTTGATTCGTCTGAGGAAGAGGAGGTACAGCGTGTCTCTGCTTGCTAATGGCAAATACATTGCACGCTTGCTGTATCAATTTCTGCAAAAATGGTTGCAAAGATCATGGTGTAACAGTTCCTTTTTTGTGGGAGAGAAATTTGCACTTTTAGGCTGATTACATAATCTTTCCATTTCATTGACAATTTTACGTATAAGCAAGGTCAATTTTGTACATACATTCACATGTATTATTGTATAGGTAAATTGCAGAAATGAAATCCCTCATTATTTATCTTATACACAAAAAATAATAAAAGTTTTTTTTTTGAAGATTCAAGATTCAGAGGCTTTTTTTTATCAATAATATACACAACTGCTGTTTTTAGAAACTTTCTGAAAAAAAAAATGAAAATGATTAAAATTAGACAGGATTATTTGGACTTCTTAATTTGGTCTACATTTAAAAGATTCTTTGGAATTTAAAATTGAAAAAGACCTCACAAATAAAGCTCTTTTGTTTTGCTTATTAGGATCCCACATCAAAGATGCTGGAGACTGATAGTTTTCACCTAATTTTGTCCATCTACAGTTTATGTGAACAAAAACTATTAATGTATAGTAAGGCGGGGGATGTAAATTTCAAAACTAAGAGTAGGACTGAAACACTAATTTGCACTATTGTTGAACTTCATGCATGTATATAGATGTGCAAATTATTGAAATTTAATGTATAGGTGAAAAAAACCATCCATCAGCTCGCATCTTTAAACTATCTTTTGGCTGCCATTTTGAAAATGTATTTCTTATTTGTTTCTGTACTTCACACAAAAGTGTGCAAGACAGGGGCCCTTGCTGAAATGACTGTTTTCTAATTTAAGTTGTAATTGAGCTTATAATAAATGGGATGGTTGGAATAAATCAGGGCATCAATGTAAAGAGAGATGGTAAAATAAATGGTATAGCAAGCATGTATTGTTGACTACTCTGCTTCTAAGGCTAATCCATTTGTATAGATTTTGTTACACTGCTTGTAACATAACAGTTTTTATGCAATCATGGGCAAGTAAAAGTTATTTTTTGGTCTTTAGATACATGTAAGATTATTTATTTCTTATTTTGCTGGATGTAATTTATTTTTTAGTATTGACATGACTTAAATCACCAATGATTGTATACAGTGATTCCAATACATTCTGTTAAGTTCTGATCTAAGTTTCCTTGTTCTAACACAAAGACAGTTACCTATAAAGTTCTGATCTAAGTTTCCTTGTTCTAACACAAAGACAGTTACCTATCAAGCTGATATCTTTTGTATACTTTATTCAGTCTATATACTCAGATTACATAATGCTACATTATACATTTTGTATTAACATTTACAGATTTTTTTAAAGGTCAGAAAACTAAAAAGGTTTTTCATTGTATTATATATTTTGGATATAGAATTACTGTGATTCTGTCCTTGCATGTAAGCTCTCATCCCTATATTTCTTAGATTTTTGTGAAATATATCTAATGTTTACATCAGCAATGTCTCCAACAAGTTTGAAAAACAGCACTGCACAACTACTTTTGCAGATGTCATGCCTTTGCATACACTGAAATCTATGGAAAATTGCATTGTAAGTGCTCTCCTGCCCATATTTCTTATGGATTTTTCTGAAATGAATATCCAAGGTATATAGGTTTTTATACACCTATGGATTTCAAATGTTTTGGTATGAGCGTTCCTGATAAAGATAAATCCAGAAAAGCACTTTGGACACAAAATTAAAAAAAATGTTATTTTCATTTATATGAGCAAATTTGTTTGCACTTGTTCCACTTGAAGTCTTCAAAGTGGAAGATCAATGGAGTTATAACCGTTGGAATGATTAATTGATTGAAAGTTGCTTGTTATAGCCCTTAGACATATAAAATATGTGCTGTGGCAGGGGATATTACAATGCTGTTCTTTGATTTTCTTTGATAATATAATTTTTATGCCCCCGCTGCAGCAGAGGGGGCATTAAGTGTTACCCTTGTATGTCCATACTTCCGTCCATACGTATGTACGTCCCAAAATTAGTTTCCTTTCTCTAACTTAGTTTGCCTGAACCAAATGTTATGAAACTTATACACAATGCTTATTACCACAAAACAGTGTCAGATCAAATTTGAATTTGGTTGGCGTCACTTTTACCATTGTAGAGTTATGCCCCTTTACAAATGGAAAAATTGCTGAATTTTTTGTTTCCGTTCTCGACCTCAAGTTTGCCTCAACCAAATGTTATGAAACTTATACACAATGCTTATTACCACAAAACTCATATAAAGTTCGAATTTGGGTGGTATCACTTTTACTGTTCTTGAGTTATGTCCCTTTATAACGTTATAGGCAGCGGGGGCATCATCTGTGTCGCATGAATACATTTTCTATTAATTTTCAAATAGGGCAGATTTTGTTTTCAAAAGTAGACCTGTTAACCTAATAAATATCAATGCTATTAATGGACGCATGCATCTATATAAGGTGCATGTGATTTTTTCTGAAACTAATATTACATTATAGAATTTTCATCTGATGCTTCAAATAACATATTGATTTTAATTTGATAACATAATATTTCATGCAGATTGATCTAATCTTTGTTTTATTGAAGGATTATGAAAACACACCGGACAGTATCGCACCAGTCGCCGAACCTAGACGACCAACACAACAGCCTCCAGGTAAAGTCAAGGATTTTTTTCTGTGTTTTAATGAGATAATCGATATACTTGAAGTAGAGATCTCCATTATGGGAGGGTCATAGTAAATCACATTTTTTAGCTCTATTGAATCATTCATTTTTGTCTAGGTTTGCATCACAAAAATAACCTCATTATGAATGTTTAGATCAGGATCCTACCTGGTTAATAAATATAAACATACAGCTTTGGGTATAAATGTTCAGGGTTGCACAGGTGAATATTACAAGTTTTTCTATCATTGCTAAAAATTTACATTGTATCTATAGAATTAAATATAAACTTATTCAAAACTCCACCTGAAATTTGACTTGTCTTTAAAGTTTTGAATTCCACTTTGTTTATCACAATATTCAATTGATGAAACTCACCCAAAGAGTTCCTACTTTATAAAATGAAAAGTAGGGTAATCTCTTTTCTGTAAAATGTTTTTAATCAGGAAGAGTTATCACCCCTTATACATGAAACTTATGAGTAGTTGATCAGAATATGCTAGTGTACTTTATAATTTGTATGCCCCAGCTATGATAGTTAGTGAGGGGGCCATCATGTTTACCAGTCTATGAGACTGGTTCTTGTCTGTCCTGTATTGGGTTATGTTTTATGTCTGTCTGTCTTTCTGGTGCATAACTTTTGTGCTGTAAAACTTAAGGTAAACCAAACTTGGTATGCACTTTCATCATGGGCTGGGTGTGTGTCATACACCAACGTCAGGTCACTCTGACCTTGACTTTGACCTTTGACACTATGATAGTAAAACCTTGTCCAATTAGTGTTTGGCTCATACCTTTTGTACCTTAAAAATTAGGATAACCAAACTTAGTATACAGTTTTATCATGGGCTTGAGGTGTGTCATATACCAAAGTCAGATCACTCTGACTTTGACTTTGACATTTGTCCTGTATGATAGTAAAATCTTGTCCAGTTCATGTCAAGCTCATAACTTTTGTACTATAGACCTTAGCTTGACAGAATATGGTATGCTGATACATCAGGGGATGGGGATGTCATATACCAAATCAGGTCACTCTGACCTTTGACCCTTATGATAGTAAAACATTGACTGATTTGTGTTTGGTGCATAACTTTTGTACTGTAGCACTTAGATTGACTTTGTATGTAGAAGCACCATGCCAACCTTGACCTTTAATTTCTGAATTTACAGTATAGAACCACAGATTTAGTTCCTGGGTCAATATAATTCTTTCAGATTGACCTATTAGTAGCCATGAGTCAATCCAACAAAGATGCAATGATTATATAAAATGAATGGCAGAAAACTAGTAATCTTAAAATGTCATTGCCTCAATACAGAATTTCACAGCAGCAACTGAAATGCATGTATTAGTTCCTTGATGGTGACGGCTTAGTTCTTCATGAAGATATCAACTAGAAACTTATTACAAATTTTCATTTTTTGCAAAATTAGGGTTTTGACCCAGATTTTGGGGTTCACAGAACTTGCAAATATGATAGTGTAAGAGGGACATGGTGTCCCTTGGATACATATTTTTATTAATGCCACTGATTAATTCCAGATAACTTTCGACCATTAATGAAAATATTTTTAGTGAAACATGTAATTTATTTCTCACAAGCTGCCAAGGAGTTTCATTTAAATCAGTAAGTTGTATGCATGCACAATCCCTTGAAAGTAGTGGTCACTTATTGTCAGTAAATAACTAAAATCAGCATGGTTGATTAACTACCTGTTTTGTTTGTCCATTGTGTGAACATCATTTTTATCATGGTTTTGAATTTATTTTCTTTAATTATATACAAATGAATTTGCTTTCTGTTTCAAGTAGATTACATTTACCTTAATATGGTTATTTTTAGGATTTCGTTGTACCTTTATTTGCAGCAATTTTTATGCACCTGTGATAAATAGTTGTTTTTCCAGTGGTCCATCTGTCTCTCCAATATAGGGTTACATAATTTGTGTGTTGAACTACTGTAAGGCCTACAACAATAGATGTATTTACACTTTTGGGTATTTAGCGGAATTTGCTCTGAATGACTAAATCTGTCTCAGAATAACCTTCTGGCGTCATGCTACAATCACTTTTAATTATGACCTCAAATAGTTTAAATTGTGATGCAAAATTCATTATAAGTAAATGATTAGTATTATAGTTTTGTTTCACTTTTCCTTAAGGAATAAATAAGTTTTTGTCTGGCCTACAACAAAAGTTGCAGAATGCTAGACTTAGGGATTACAAACTGGCAGTGGTTGCATAAATTCTTTGTATAAACCTTTATATTTTGGGGGTTTAAGACCTGGATGCTTCATATCCAGTTATATAGATGGGTTATAAGGTTATCTATATTTGGTGCATGGAGTTATTGCAAGGTGTACATGTTTGTCTATCAGAGTTCTTCTGATTTTGATCTCTTTCTTTTTTCTTGGTTTATTGGTCGATGTTTAGTTTTCATGGTAAGGTCTGTTTCTTGGGTACTATAAGCATTAGTGCAACTATATTTGGTGAGTAAAATGTTTGTATGGTGTTCATTTCTGTCTGCCATGTTCATATGACCTGGACCTCATTTTCATGGTTCAAAAGTCAGTGTTATGTTTTCATTGTTAAGTTTGTTTCTCAGATACTATAAGCAGTAGGTTAACTATATGTTATGTATGGACTGTTTTTAAGGTTTACATGTCTGTTGGGCAGAGTTCATCTGACCTCAACCTCATTTTCATGGTTGGCTGGTGAAAGTTTAGTTTTTTGGTTAGTATATATAAAGATAAGAAGATGTGGTATGATTGCTAATGAGACAACTCTCCACAAGAGACCAAATGACAAAGAAATTAACAACTATAGGTCACCGTACGGCCTTCAACAATGAGCAAAACCCATAACGCATACTCAGCTATAAAATGCCCCGAAATGACAAATGTAAAACAATTCAAACGAGAAAACCAACAGCCTGATTTATGTACAAAATAATCAGGCCTGTATCTCAGATACTATAAGCAATAAGTTAACTATGTTTGGTGTTTGGAATGATTGTAAGGTGTACTATGTCTATCTGGCAGGTTTCATTTTACCTTGACCTCTTTTTCACAGATCATTGATAATTTTAATTTTATGTAAAACTTGTTGTATAATCCTTTACTCTAAGACTTTCAATATAATTTGAATCATTACCAGTATAGCAGGTGAGACATTTCAGCATGCATACTTTACTTATCAATTCTTGGATTTTTCTGTTTGTAAAATTCCATGTCATTTGCATAATTGGTTAAGAGCTTTTTTTAATTGTTCAGTGTGTGTAGTTGGATAGGAGTTGGTTAATACAGTTGTTATTGTTCAGTGTGTTATTTGAAAGATATGGGTTAAGAGCTTTATTTTCAATAGTGCATTGCTCATCTTACCTCACTTTTTGTCAAGTAACTTTTGCTAAACCTCATAGACAATTGTTCCCATGAGAATTCTTTATAAGATTTAAAAAAAAATATGCAGCATATATGAACATGAATTTATTGGAATATACATTGAAGTTTTAACAGGTCATTTCTTATTCCATATTTTGTATTTTGTACCTGCAATCATTATATATTTAGAGAATATTATACTGCTTTTTCAATATCAGATCTGTGTCATTACCCTAGACACTCACCAATATAAACCCAAGAGCTTTGCTCGAGGGATTTAATTGGTCGTGGGTTGATATGGTGTGTGATATTGAAAAAGACATATCATATACACTATCTTATATACCGGTACCTCAAGTAAATGTTTTTCTCGTGACATGACATAACTCAGATTAGGGGTAATCAAACCTTTGCAACAGTGGGTGATATCAATGATGTGACTTCATACAGATTAGGGGTAATCAAACCTTTGTAACAGTGGGTGATATCAATGATGTGACTTCATACAGATTAGGGGTAATCAAACCTTTGTAACAGTGGGTGATATCAATGATGTGACTTCATACAGATTCGGGGTAATCAAACCTTTGTAACAGTGGGTGATATCAATGATGTGACTTCATACAGATTAGGGGTAATCAAGGTGTAATACCACCATTGATTTTCCCCTATTAGTCTTTGTTAAATTTGCACTTTTCAAAAAATTGTGCAGAATTTATCTTTGTTTCAAAAAAAGAAATACTTGGCATGAGTAAAGGTTTATCCTGTCCAGTACTATAGAAAAAATTTCACATAACATTTCATTGCATATAAGAAAATAACCATCACTGGAAGTTAACCAATCAAATTTTCCCCCTTTTTTAACCTGTGTACAAGCTTTAGTAACCATGTAACCTCAAGTTTCCAAAATATTCTATAGAAACCCCAAATAAAGAAATAATGGTGCTTTGAAATACCCAAGATATATGTTTATGACTCAGAAATGTTTTACTGCAATGAAATGTAGGATCAATTACCTACAACTGTCAAATTCAAGGGAATATTTTTTTTCGACCTATTTTCGTATGCAACCGGATGTGACGTACTATGATTTGGTGGTATTACACCTAAAGAAGACTTTATTGTTGAATAAACTGAATGTGACTTTTTTCCTTTGTAATACTGGTTATTTCAATCATTCCTGTCAAGTTTTGTCATAATCAGTTCAATAGTTTGAGAAAAATCTAGTATAATGTAAGACGACATCTACAGCGATTCGAGCAAAATTTCTTCGAAAAATTCAAACCAAGCCGCATCATGATAGAATATAGTGTGGACCAATAAATGATCAAATATTTATCTCATCTGCCTACAAACAGTTGAATATGATACAAAAGATGACTTTAGGATGATAAATACTACTAATGGACCTCTTATTCTTCCTTATAAAGTCTCTTTTGGTCCATTTATACCTCTCATTTCCTCAAAATTTCTACTTTTTAGGCCAATAAATAAAAATTTTGGGGTAACTTTCACTCATTTATGATAGAAATGTTATTATAAATGATTAATTGAAGTATTCAAGCTGCTTGAACTATCCGTATAAAAGTTTACTGTCTCCAAGGAGGTTTCAATAAGTCCTTGCGTAAAACTTAAATTTACGCCGCGTTCCAGAGAGGGACATAAAAAACTTCTCTTTTGGTGAATAATTTGTTGTTACTGCTTTAAAAATAATTTCATTTACTTAAAACTATATATTTATTAAAGTATTTCTTAAGAAAAATTTTCTAGTATAGCAGAATATTAAAAATAAGGAGAAAAAGCTCCCCAAGACTCTAAGTATGGCTTGTCCTGTCAACTAATATTCATGGTAAAGTCCTATTTCAAGGAAATTTTCTCATAAAATGTATTTTGGAGACTCAATCCACTCAGAATATTTCATTATTTGTAATATTTCACTTAAATAGCAAGAAATTTTAACACATGAGAGTACTCACAAGGTCAAAGGTGCATGTACAGCTTCCCATATTAGGTGTAATACCACCATTGATTTTCCCCTATTAGTCTTTGTTAAATTTGCACTTTTCAAAAAATTGTGCAGAATTTATCTTTGTTTCAAAAAAAGAAATACTTGGCATGAGTAAAGGTTTATCCTGTCCAGTACTATAGAAAAAATTTCACATAACATTTCATTGCATATAAGAAAATAACCATCACTGGAAGTTAACCAATCAAATTTTCCCCCTTTTTTAACCTGTGTACAAGCTTTAGTAACCATGTAACCTCAAGTTTCCAAAATATTCTATAGAAACCCCAAATAAAGAAATAATGGTGCTTTGAAATACCCAAGATATATGTTTATGACTCAGAAATGTTTTACTGCAATGAAATGTAGGATCAATTACCTACAACTGTCAAATTCAAGGGAATATTTTTTTTCGACCTATTTTCGTATGCAACCGGATGTGACGTACTATGATTTGGTGGTATTACACCTCAAACCTTTGGAACAGTGGGTGATATCAATGATGTGACTTCATACAGATTAGGGGTAATCAAACCTTTGCAACAGTGGCTGATATCAATGATGTGACTTCATACAGATTAGGGGTAATCAAACCTTTGCAACAGTGGGTGATATCAATGATGTGACTTCATACAGATTAGGGGTAATCAAACCTTTGTAACAGTGGGTGATATCAATGATGTGACTTCATACAGATTAGGGGTAATCAAACCTTTGTAACAGTGGATGATATCAATGATGTGACTTCATACAGATTAGGGGTAATCAAACCTTTGTAACAGTGGGTGATATCAATGATGTGACTTCATACAGATTAGGGGTAATCAAACCTTTGTAACAGTGGGTAATATCAATGATGTGACTTCATACAGATTAGGGGTAATCAAACCTTTGCAACAGTGGGTGATATCAATGATGTGACTTCATACAGATTAGGGGTGACTCAGATATCATCACAGATGGCTGATACAGCATGATTGCCATTGATTGTTACACATACAATTTACTTGTTTTTACCACTAAATATATATTATAAATATATTTATTAGGGAGGAGAAAAGATAAGTATAAATGTACATGTCAATACTTACCTGATATACAGTATGCATATATGTAATACTCTATATACTGCATTATTACCACTGATTACTTTTATTCTGATTGTTACTATGGAAATATGTATACAAGTATGTTTTAATGTAGCAAAATTTTGTTTGCTTAGCCAAGAATGGATGTCTCAATCCTTGTGTAAACCAATAATCTCCCCTTCAATAGCTCACATCTCAACAGTCATACCCACACCCACATTAATAAGATATACTCCCCAAGAACCAGATCATATCATCATGCATGTGCATGAGTATTGTGAATTATAAAAAATATAATGCATGTACAATGCTTTGATATAAACTTATGAGATATGAGGACAAGACTTATCCTATCTATGGGTCCTAGGTGAGACGCATGCATCATCTGGGTACTGTGGACTATCTTAATTTAAGTGTTATGAAGTGTAGTTTAAATTTGGCCTTGCATCAAGGCTATCTATTAAGATTACAGTTCAAATTTGTGTAATTCAAATTAAATTAAATTTGATTTTTTTTCATTTCTTTAAGCGTTTTCTTCCTCATTACTTTTCATATTTAAAATATTCGGAATTTCTATGTATATAAATTCAAAGTACATTTCTCTGTTTAATATTAATTTTTATTCTTTGCAATGCATCCACTTTTATTTCCTTTGTAATCATAAGTATAAATAAATAGGTAAAAATGGCGTATTTTTTGCACTTATTTTCCTGTACATCAATTAAAACTAAGTTGTTAAAACAACAAATTACCTTATAACAACAGCTATTGTACTTTGTTTGTAGGAATAGAAGGAATATATATTTTTGAAATGTAGGAATAGCTGGAAGACACCGTTTATAAATAATCCAATCTCATAAAAAAAAGAAAAGTGTAAAAAATAGTAAAAAAAATATTATTGTGAAGACTATTCTCTTTTTTGACAAGTGGTAAAACTTCATTTTATATTTTTCAACCTTTTTAGTAGAATTTTCAATAGTTAAGAGCTAAAATCTGTAATAAATTTTTTGGCTTTCAATAGATAAACATGAAAAATACTTCCTGTTTGAATATCTCTTTGGGAAAAGGTTGTGCTATATATTTTTTTAAGCATGTACATGTCAGGTAGTCCACATTTTCATAAGTTCACGATTTTAAACTGAACTTCCTGTCATTCCATGACTGTTTAACTTATGAAAATGGATTTTTTTTACTAAAATAGCATTGTTTTATGTAAGTACATACAGTCAAACCTGTATGTAAAGGTAACCTCGAGCCAGAGAAAGTTTACCTAATGAAAGAGGTGACCATGACCTTTGAAAAAAGGTTTGAAATGCATAGGTATTACTTAAGCAGATAAGAGATGACCTTGAATGACAGGTTTTTCGCTTAATAGAGGAGACCTTTTCAGCAAGCTGTACTATACAATCAACATTTAGTTCTGAAAATTATAGATAGTTTAAAATATGACTGATTTTAGGGGCAGTATGGTCACAAATCATACCTTCTACTTTATTGTGTAGTGAAAATATTATAAAACTTAAAGTTACTTTTTTTTTTAGATTATATGCATTTCATTGATCCTGTGAGTTGTTGGGTTTCCAACAGAAATAACCCCCTCTGTTGCACTAGATTTTGATAATCATTCATCATGGAAAAACCTAACCCTGTCACAATATCTTAACTTAATTAATTTTCCCTTTAACTGCTGATTCATGCACTGGCACAGTATTTGATTTATCTCCCTTGTAAAAATTTGACAACCTGCTTCAGTAGTGGCCAGTTACAATTTGATACATCCGGAAAGTTATGTAATTTTTTCTCTTTGTAAAACAAGACATTTGATAACACCTGACAGTATTACCTGTTTATACCTGTGAAAGTAATTATTTTTATGTTGACGAATGACTTTCATGTTACTGTGACTAAGTTTAAAAATCATCGTCATCTGATTTCTCTTGATTCATTGGAAGGAACCTGATTCATTTGCCACATCAGGTTCCGTCGTAAACAACATCAAAACATATGTACTATGACATTTAAGGTTTGTAAACTTTTATTGGTTCAGTTGTATTTTGTGGAGTTCATATGTACTTAATTGGGTCATCATTACACACCTTTTTATAAACATTACATACATTTATGTAAAAAGCCAAAAAAAACATAGAAAATTTATAAAAAAAATTGGTTAAAGATAGATTATAGACAAATATCTTTTTTAGTAGATTATACCTAAAAACAGACAACATGTACTTTTATAAATCTATCACTTTCCCCTTAAAAAAAATTCAATAAATAAAAACAAAGCAAAACTTTTGTTAATGATTTTTAATATAGCATATAGCTTAAGGTTCTTTGAAGAAAGAAAAAAAAATTCCAGACATCTGAAAAGTAAATAATTGCCTGTTTATACAGCTATTTACAAATGTATTACCAAAACTTGCTTTTATATTACAAAGATCTGAAGTTTAAGGCATCTAATCTTCAGCCCAATAATCTGTTGGCTTAGTATATCTACTTTTCAACATTTTATTACAAATCACAAAATAATCTTAAAACATAAAAAATAAAATAAAATACCTTTACTACAGATAAAATTTGGACCAATTTGGTCAATAATAAACTTACAATGGGTAGTAATTAAAAAAAAAGAAACTTGCATCACATCTCTTTTCTTTTTATATTTGACACCCTTTCATATTTACCAAATGATATATATTATGTGCAATTGTCTTTAGAGAGATGATCTTTGTATGACAACTTTACATGACGATAATATATAGTAAATAACCAATGAAGTGTGACAGACTTATCCATCACCCAGTTATCAAATTAATATACAGTTAGTCAGTAGACTGTCAGAAATTTACGTTATTTCACACCATGATTCATTTTTGGTCATTTTAGACCTATTTGTAATATTTTTTGTGTTACCTAATTTTTTTGTATGTTAGAAAACCTACTCATTTAGTAAAAGTAAAACATTTGTGGTTTTATAATGATGAGACAAGAGAAGAAATCAAGATTGCATTCAGCTGGGGATTTAAGTTGTTTAAAAATGAAGTTTTTTGAGAAAAAGAAAAAAAATAGTAAAAATAGACAAAGAAGTGCTAGTTTACCTCCCGATAATAGGATAGAAATTCTGATTAAGGAAGGGAAAGCTGTACGTGGAATATTTAGGAATAATTCCTCTGGACATATTATAACTGATCGTCGTCCAACACGAGTGTATTCTAAACCAGATAAACTGTCAACATGTGTAGGTGAGAACTCTTTTCATAGAATGCTTTTGTCCCCAAGGGAAAATTTGACAAGTGTTTTCCAAGTAAGAATTTGATTTGTAAGGGTCAAGGTTCATATTTCAATATTTCTTATTTTTAATGACAAGCTCTCAACAATTAAATCAAAATCTGCTTTAGTTTTAAGATGTTATACTCTTAACTGGAAACAAATCTTTTACCAGGACTAGGGTGTTCTGTTGCCTAGTTGGTGGGGATTAATTTTGCATTTGCATTTAGAACTAAAAAATGTCTGAAGTGGTGTGAATAGGTTGTATTGACATAAAATGTGTGACAGGGAGGGACAGATTAAATTGTAAAACAAAATAGATTTTTTGCAGGTCAGGGTTAAAGCTCAGTTTTCTAACATGGTATTTTTCTTTCCTTTTATCTCTTTAATAGGTTGGCTTATTTCAATTATTTGAGTTTATTATTAAAAAAGAAAAGCTGTACATAGGTTATAGCCTACATTGCATCTCGTCTGTTCTTGTTCTCTTTTAAAAAATAAACACATTACTGGCAATATAAAGGAAGGAACAGTTTGTCTTTTGATATTGTGATATTATGATGTATTACAGGTAATTTGATAATTAATGTCAATCATAATAATTATTGTAATGATAACCTCTAAAACAAGCACCTGCAGTTGTTATTTCATAGATAAGTGATCTACATTTTATATACATTAAATTTAATCTATGTTGTCCCAGAATACTGTTTTCAGTATGAAATTTACATTGTTTGACATATTTTTTATTTATTGAATTTCATATAAAATTGTGAATATCAAGAGCCAAATAAACTAATAAAGACCTTAGGAATTATTATATTAATTCTTCATACTCATACCCCTTGTTTTCTGGTCTCATCCTGATTAGCATGAAATATTTGCCACTGGATGTTAAACACCAATCCATCATCAAGTATTCTGGTGGTGTGTGTGTCTGTTTTAGTTTCAGTTTGGCTGTACTGAATATAACTGTAATATTTGCCACTGATGTTAGGGATTTGAAAAAAAAGAAGATGCTGAGTATATCTCAGGTGACAGTAGCTTAAAATGACACATCATACATCTAGCGATCAACATTAGGTCAATATACAAGTACATATTCAAGATGCCAGGTCCTTAATTGCCCAAAGTCTAGAAAAGTTGTTTATAAATTTAACAGATACTATGGGAAGATCTTCCGTAACACCAAATTCCTAAAGAATACAAAAAACACTTTAGTTATAGCTTTTGACAACTTTTGATCCTGACTTCTCAAGAGGATTCAAATTTCATTTCAAATCAGAATTCATGAGAATTATTTCTATCTTTTGAATTGAAGAATCTATCTTATATGGTGGAATTTGACTGTACACAGATTTTCATTGCTTTGTTGCATCATTCATTTCTTGTATGAATCTCATGATGTTTTCAACCTTTGTTTTTAATACTGAGAATATTTAAGTCCAAACAGGCCTATACAATTTAAATCGTACATGTGCTCACAAAAAGTGATCTATTCTTTTTTTTTTATTATACCTAGAGATGTTTAAAACAATGTTAGGTTTTGAAAAAAGTTGCTTTAGTTACAGTTTATAGTAAAGTCATTGCTATTTCATCATTAGAATATCAATTTCAATATGTATTATTAAAAAAAAAAATTTGAAATCTTAGCTTGTCTAGGAATAAACTTCAGATCAAACTGACAAGTTACAAGAAAATTGGTGAATACATGAATGATTCTGGTTATTATTTTTTACATCATTTGTGTTGCATGAACATTTGTAAAAGGTCTTAAAGCACCCACACAGATGCTATTAAAGATTATTTCGTCTGTTTTTAAAAAAAAAGAGTGACATACATATACCAAACCTCCAGTATATGTCAGCCTATCTTTCACATACATTCCTTTCGCACAAAACTGCATGGGATATAGATAGAATTGTTTTTAGTTTTGTTGAGCAAGTCATATCTGATGTTGGTCACTGCTAACTTGTTTTATGCAAATTATTTTTTTCATTTTTGCTTGGTAAATAAATACCTTTATAGTTGTAAAGGTGATATGTAATCTAATTTCCCACTATTTATTCACCTGTAGTATTTCTGTTAGCTAGCACCATTACTGTATATATATCTATGTCATCAAATATCATAAACTTCTTCAATAAATTGAGACTAAACTTCATTTTAAATTAATTTGTTATAAAATGCATCATATGATATATAATACTACATGTAATTTAAACATGTTGGCAAATCATTGCTTTTTGTACAAAATTTATATTGATTTGTAAGTGCATGACTTTCATGAACTCAGTTTTGCAATAAACAATGTTTTTTATAGTTATATTTATGTTATATTATCATATATATCATTAAAATTATATTTTTTAATCAAATGTTAACAAATTAACTTGTGATATTTATAATTGGCATCAACATATCATTGCGATTATTATTAAACAAGAGAATTGGTCATCTAAAATAGGATTGGAATATCACAATTTCTTCATTTAGGATTAAGGCAAGAGCAATTGCTTACAGGTAGTTTTGAACATGAAACATATGTATAAAGTGTTTTTGTTTTTGTATATACATGGTAAGGATCAAATGAAACATATGTTTAAAACGTTTTTGTTTATACTTGGCAAGGATCAAATGAAACATATGTTTAAAACGTTTTTGTTTATACTTGGCAAGGATCAAATGAAACATATGTTTAAAACGTTTTTGTTTATACTTGGCAAGGATCAAATGAAACATATGTATAAAGTGTTTTTGTTTTTGTTTATACATGGCAAGGATCAAACGAAAGAATCATCATCTACCAATAGTATTGTTGACAAATTGAAAACAGCCCTGATCAGTAGACAAAGAAATCTGCATAGCCCAACTCCGCAAGAAGAGGAAGGTGCGATTTCCCACAATGCATTGCTGACAACTCTCCTCATTTTTCCTTAGATATATTTCACTTGAAATTTGACCTTTTTTCATAGTTTCCTTGCAAGCCATTATCTTGGACCATGCATTTCTGTTAAACATACATTTGTCACTTTTTTTCTCAAGATCTTGCACTTCACAAGTTTCCATGTTATCATGTCATTCATCAGAGAAACTTAACTTCTTCTCTGGATCTTTACATCCTTTATATAACCATACGATGTATGTATGTAGAACAGTTCAACCACCAATAACAAAAACACTATACACTTTTTACTTAGCATAATAATTGTCATTGAACTAAAGCTTATACATTTTATTCATTTCAAAACTTAACTTTGAACTATAGATTATGCATTTCATAAACTTAACTTTGAACTATAGATTATGCATTTCATAAACTTAACTTTGAACTATAGATTATATGCATTACATAAACTTAGATTTGAACTATAGATTATGCATTTCATAAACTTAACAATGAACCATAGATAATACATTTCATAATCCTAACATTGAACTATAGATAATGCATTACATAAACTTAACATTGAACTATAGATTATACATTTCATTAATTACATAAACTTTTACATTGAACTATAGATTATACATTTCATTCATTACATAAACTTAACATTGAACTATAGATTATACATTACATAAACTTAACATTGAACTATAGACTATATGTTTCATTCATTTTAGAATCTTAACATTGAAATATGTATTTTTTCACCTGACAATATACTGATTCATAGAAATAATTCATTATATGCTTTGAATGTGATCTAGTCGTATTGAAAGTACTGAAATAGTCCTGCTACAATCTATATACATATATATATATATATATATTGTTAAATACTTACATTGGAGATCTTCAACGTTTCAAGGATAAATTCAATTGTATTTATTGACATATTATTATTTTTCATATGCAGATGAAGATACAGATAGCGTTGGATCATATGAAGAGCCTGACCCACAGAGTGCACCTCCACCCTCCGTTCCCACCAGGAGGGGTGCACCACAAGGTAGGCATTTTACAATAAAACTCATAACCACATCTCCACTCTTAAGTCCATAGTAGAAAGGGTACAAAAGGTTTCATTATACAATTATTGAACTCATGAACTTACCTCCACTCTTTATATTTAATAGAAGGGATACCCCAGCATGCGATATTATATATATATGAAATACTAAAAATTCATAAATGTTAGCTATTTTTAGCTCACCTTGCCCAAAGGGCTAAGTGAGCTTTTCTCATCACTTGGCGTCCGGCGTCCATCGTCCGTAAACTTTTACAAAAATCTTCTCCTCTGAAACTACTGGGCCAAATTTAACCAAACTTGGCCACAATCATCATTAGGATATTAAGTTTAAAAAATTTGTCCTGTGACTAGGCCAACCAACCAAGATGGCCGCCATGGCTAAAAATAGAACATAGGGGTAAAATGTAGATTTTGGCTTATATCTCTGAAACCAAAGCATTGAGAGCAAATCTGACATGGGGTAAAAATGTTTATCAGGTTAAGATCTATCTGCCCAGTAATTTTCAGATGAATCTGACAACCCGTTGTTAGGTTGCTGCCCCTGAATTAGTAATTTTAAGGAAATTTTGCCGTATTTGGTTATTATCTTGAATATTATTATAGATAGAGATAAACTGTAAACAGCAATAATGTTCAACAAAGTAAGTTCTACAAATAAGTCAACATGACCAAAATGGTCAGTTGACCCCTTAAGGAGTTATTGCCCTTTTATAGTCAATTTTTAACAATTTTTCGTAAATTTTTGTTATCTTTTACAAAAATCTTCTCCTCTGAAACTACTCAGATGAATTTAACCAAAGTTGTAAACAATCATCATTAGGGTATGTAGTTTAAAAATTGTGTCTGATGACCCCGCCTGCGAACCAAGATGGCCAACATGGCTAATAATAGTACATAGGGTAAAATGCAGTTTTTGGCTCATATATCTAAACCCAAAGCATTTGGAGCAAATCTTTCAAAACAAAATTGTTCATTAGGTCATAATCTATCTGCCCTGAAATTTTCAGACCATTCAGGCAACCCGTTGTTGGGTTGCTGCCCCTGAATTGGTAATTTTTAGAAATTTTTTCAGCTTTTGGTTATTATCTTGAATATTATTATAGATAGAGATAAACTGTAAACAGCAATAATGTACAGCAAAGTAAGACCTACAAATAAGTCAACATGACCAAAATGGTCAATTGACCCCTTAAGGAGTTATTGCCCTTTATAATCAATTTTTAACAATTTTCATAAATTTTCAACTGTTCAACAGTCACAAAAATAATGCAAAAAGTTCTGAATTTACAGAAGTTCGAAATTTATTCATGTTATTGGGGTTTGCAGTTAATCAGAACCAAACATAAAAGAAGTTTCAAAGAATTATACATAGTATTCAGCTAAATATTTATCATTTGTGTTTTTATGTTTGAATTTTATTTCCTACTTATTTCAAGGATTTGCATAGTGACTCACTATACAAATCCTTGCTTATTTATCTTTATTGATAAAAGTAGTTCTGAATATACATGTATACTGAGATTTGAAAAGATATAAAATTTATTTCTTAGAAAAAGTTCCCTGTTTGTACAGTGATACCTTACAAATTTTATTCGATCAGTGATTTAAGGTTGAAGTGTTGTTTTCTGTAAAGTGAAAACTTTATCTAAAAGGAAGATAAAAATCAGGGACACCAAAATAAAAACCTAGCAAACAGTTTTGGCCCTAGAAATCCTACAAAAATTAAAACTTTGCAAACTAGATTTAGGCTAGAAATCTTGCCATAAAAATAAACCTCGTAAACTGATTTAGGGCTAGAAATCCTGCAAAATTAAAAACCTCACAGTCTGGTTTTTGGCTAGAAATCCTGCATATTAAAAACCTCGCAAACTGGTTTACAGTTGGAAATCCTGCAAAATGAAAAACCACATAAACTGGTTTCGGTCTAGAAATCCTGCAAAATTAAAAACCAAACAAACTGGTTTTAGGCTACAAATCCTGCAAAATTTAAAACCAAGCAAACTGGTTTAGGCCTAGAAATCCTGCAAAATTAAAAACCACACAAACTGGTTTCGGTCTAGAAATCCTGCAAAATTAAAAACCACACAAACTGGTTTAGGGCTAGAAATCCTGCAAAATTAAAAACAAAGCAAACTGGTTTAGGGCTAGATAAACCACTTTACTGTATCAGGTCCTTGTTTTAGATTATTGTCTCTGTAAGTTTTATGGGTCCTGTCTTTGGTATTTGATTGTTTATTTTTATTTCCTTTAGATCAGGCAAGTGCTTCTGCTTCAGAACCACAATGTCTTTATTTCCATATGATCAGGCAAGTACTACTGCTTCAGAACCACAATGTCTATTAAAATCAAATATTGGAGAGACATTTGTGTGAGGCACACACAGAGTACAGGGGGAGTTGTTACATTAGAGAATGTCAGCCTACAATTATGGCTATCTGCTGGAGACTAAATTTTACATTGTAATATACATAGAAAAAATAGTCTAAAGAACCACTCATAACATTTTTTAGCTATAACTCACAGTTATGGTACCAACAGTTAAGGGTACCAACAGTTAAGGAATTAGGGGCCAAAAAGGGGCCAAAAACAAGCATTTTTGTAACTTCAAGACATAACTTGTGTGTTAGTGTATGGATCTCTCTGACATTGTACCACAAGGTTCCATATCACAAAGGGAATGCTGGGATTGATTTTGGGGGTAATTGCCTCAAAATTTTAGGAATAAGGGGCCAAAAAAGGGCCAAAAAATAAGCATTTTTCTAGTTTCATGACAATAACTTGTGTGTGAGTGTATGGATCTTTCTGAAATTGTACTACAAGGTTCCATATCACAAAGGGAAAGCTGGAATTGAGTTTGAGGGTAATTGCCCAAAACGTTTAGGAACAAGGGGCCAAAAAGGGGCAAAAAAACAAGCATTTTTCTAGTTTCCAGACAATAACTTGTGTTCAAGTGTACGGATCTCTCTGAAATTGTACTGCAAGGCACCATACATTGTAACACAAAGGGAAGGCTGGGATTGAGTTTGGGGGTGATGAATCATAAGGGGGTTCAAAAAATTTTGAGGGGGGATTTTTTTCCCCTTTTTTTTTTTTAAATTTTCCATTTTAAATTGGTTATTTCTGATTTATATATAAAAGCAAATAATAATGATATGGTTTGAATAGGTAAATTAAAAAAATTGAAGTTCTTAGACCACATTCATTCTGAATCAGAAACCTATGCTGTGTCAAATATTTAATCACAATCCAAATTCAGTGCTGTATCAAGCTTGAATGTTGTGTCCATACTTGCCCCAACTGTTCAGGGTTCTACCTCTGCGGTCGTATCAAGCTGCGCCAAGCGGAGCATTTTATTATTTCATGTTATTTTATGTCTTCATTCTTGAAGCTCATTATTCACCGTTCTGTGAAAATTTATAAAAAAGCAACTAATGAGCATTTTTTTCTTTTTTATTAATCATCACATGGCCATTTTAATTCCTGTTTGACCATGCACATAACTCCACCCCTTTTACAACCTTCTAGCAGTGTCCTTGAACATACAAGGATTCCTGATTACAAAAAAGACGGAACCCAATGATTGATATAGAAAACCTATCAAGGATACCAGGCTTAATATTTGGTATGCCAGACACACATTTCATCTACAAAAAACATCAGTGACCCTTGAATCTCATGAGAGCTTTTAGTTCAATGTATTTACTAAGAACTATTCATCATTAAAAGAGATATAATTCATATTTAACCAAATTAATTAAAGCAGTTGAGATGCATCTTCAAGAGTCAATCTGCTGTCTCTGTGGATTCACTTAATTATTTATGAGGATACCAATTTTCATGGATTGAGGAAAATATCTATTTTTCGTGGATATTTGATTTCGTGGTTTTGCCACAGGCTCCATACAAGGCAAAAGAAAATTATTATTTTGTTGAACATTTATATTTGTGGTTTTAGATAGCCATGAAATCCATGAAAAATTGTATCCCACAAATAGTAATATATTCACAGTATACTCTTTTCATTTCCACTTTTTTAGATGGTTTTTAAATTGGATTGTTTTGTATTTTTTTCACTTCTCATACAGGTCATCTTTTAATTGGTTAGGTATCAATTAATTGGAGGCATCCCATGGTGTTCCATACTTTCAGACATGCAGGTCATCTTTCGATTGGTTAGGTATCATTTTATTGGAGGCATCTCACAGTGTTCCATACTTTCAGACATTAGGTCATCTTTTAATTGGTTAAGTATCACTTATTGGAAGCATCTCATTCCATACTTTCAAAGGGTGGTTCATTATATAATTATCATATTATAGAATATATTCAGCAACCAGTCTAGGCTATTTTAGATAATTTTCTGAAGAATCTAATGGCTGTTTCAACAAAAATTTTAACTTTAAAATATGGGGCAGCCAGAAAATGTAACTTTTCAGGGTGGTCAGTACTATTCTTATAACACACACAAGCCAATACACTGTGAAATACAGATCAAAATTGACTTAATAAATACAAGGCAGGTTAGGGATATTAGACATACTTAATACATGCTTACTCAATTCACAACAAAGAATAACTATTAAGGGCTCAGTTCTAGCTTTCTTCATATGAAAAATCTTAAGACATTCTCCCTAAAAGTATGCTATACTGCAGTATGCAAGAAATTCACAAACAATACATCAAAACCCGCTGGAGATATTAACATTCATTTATGTTATGGTAGGTTTCACTATAACTTTTTATTTTACAAGTAACAAAAAGTTACTGTTTAATTTCAGAATGATTTTGAAGTACCAGTTTGTATTACTTAAATTTTTAACTGTCACAATGAACAATAAGTTATTTATTAGGTTGAGGAAGGTTTTACTGTAATTTTGTACCGTTGTAAAGGAACAAAAAGTCACTGTGTAACATAAGAAGCATAAATCTATTTCTTTATCATGATATAAGTTCTTCCTAAAATATTTATGAATGGAAATGGAAATGGACAGTGGACTTTATTTTTCAGTAGCTCCTTCAGGACCGCCTCGCTCAGCACCTCATGTAATACCTGTTAATAGACGTCCTGTGCCACAGATGCCACCAGAAGAACAACAGGTGAGAATAACCTTTATTTAACACATACATGTAGCAATGTATTTTATGTATGTGTTGTCTGAAATATAGTGCTGTTGCATTTTGTTTATTTCCAAAAAATTTGGAGAGTATTTATTTTGATAATTAGTCGCCTATATTATAAACATATAATACATTTAGTATATTTTGAGTATTCATTTATTGCATGAGGTGAAAGTTATAATAATAAGAAAATGTACTCATTAGTAAGAATATTTTGTTTTTTTGCAGTGCAGCAGATTTTTCAATAGTTGTAAAGTGTTAAACAGTTCTTTGTCTTATCTAAAATTCCAAATGATTTTAAATCTTTAGGAGACATAGTGTTAATAGTGGGATGCCTTTAATTATCATTAATTTTAATTTTTATGTGTGAGATAGCAGTCTTATATCAATGATATTTTCCACTACAATTATTTAAAAAAGTAGTACAACACACTGTAACTACTAAATAAAAACTTGAAAATTATGATGTTTAAATTAAGGCCTTCTTAAATATATTCTATAAATAAACAAAAACAAAAAATAGGAACAATACTAAAATTTTTGTCAGAAATCAACTTTTTATGATTAAATCAGTGTTTATATTGAACAGATTGAAATTATATTACATGTATTGATATTGAATAAATACAACATCACATGCAGTTTTGTGAGTTGAAACATGTATTTTCATCTTTTAGAAGATCATTTTTTAACTCAGGAAAATTAATCAATGAGTGATGGATTTCTCTTAGAAAAAATTTAAAGGTCCCAGTGAATAAACTACACAGAGAACAATAGCTATTGTATTTATTCAATGGGATAATTGAACTGACAAAAGTTTAAATAGATTGACCAATAGGAGATGACTCTGTGGAAAAGTTTCATTTGGTTCACAATAATATATGTAATAACGATGATTATTGTTATGATATTATGGTTCTGGTCCTGTCTGGAATAAAATGTACATGATTTATATAAGATGAAGAAATATATATGTACAAAAAAAAAAATTGTAGCTCTATAACTATATGAGCGTTTAATATTTCATTTCAATGTAAAACTTTGTTTATTTTTTTTTGGTTACAAATCAAAGTGTATTGTTTTGTGTGTATATTTGTCATGCTGCCCATCAAGGACACTTAATTGGAACAATAAATATTCTATTCTTATTTTTAGCTCACCTGGCCTAAAAGGCTAAGTGACCTTTTCTCATCACTTGGCGTCTGTCGTCCGTTGTCGTCGTTAACTTTTACAAAAATCTTCTCCTCTGAAACTACTGGACCAAATTTAACCAAACTTGGCCACAATCATCATTGGGATATCTAGTTTAAAAAATGTGTCCGATGACCCAGCCCGCCAACCAAGATGGCTGCCATGGCTAAAAAGAGAAGATAGGGGTAAAATGTAGATTTTGGCTTATATCTCTGAAACCAAAGCATTTAGAGCAAATCTGACGGGGTAAAATTGTTCATCAGGTCAAGATCTATCTGCCCTGAAATTTTCAGACAAATTAAACAACCCATTGTTGGATTGCTGCCCATGAATTGGTAATTTTAAGAAAATTTCACAGGTTTTTGTTATTATCTTCAATATTATTATGGATAGAGATAAACTGTAAACAGCAATAATGTACAGCAAAGTAAGACCTACAAATAAGTCAACATGACCAAAATGTTTAATTGAACCCATAAGGAGTTATTGCCCTTTATAGTAATTTTTTAACAATTTTTTGTAAATTTTTGTAATCTTTAACAAAAATCTTCTCCTCTGAAACTACTGAGACAAATTTAACCAAACTTAACCACAATCATCATTACGGTATCTAGTTTAAAAAATGTGTACGATGACTCTGCCTGCCAACCAACATGGCTAAAAATAGAACATAGGAGTAAAATGCAGATTTGGATTATATCTCTTGCACTAAAGCATTTAGAGTAAATCTGACAAGTGGTAAAAATGTTCATCAGGTTAAGATCTATCAGCCCTGAAATTTCCAGACAAATCAGACAACCCTTATTTGGGTTGCTGTCCCGGCCCAGAAGTGGTAATTTTAAGGAAATTTGGCAGTTTTTGGTTATTATCTTGAATATTATTATAGATAGAGATAAACTGTAAACAGCAATAATGTTCAGCTAAGTAAGATATACAATGGTCAATTGACCCCTTAAAGAGTTATTGCCCTTTATAGTCAATTTTTAACAATTTTTTGTAAAATTTTGTAATCTTTTACACAAATCTTCTCCTCTGAAACTACTGAGACAAATTTAACCAAACTTGGCCACAATCATCATTAGGGTATCAGTTTAAAAAATGTGTCCGATGACCCTGCCTACCTACCAGCATGGCCGACATGGCTTAAAATAGAACATAGGGGTAAAATGCAAGTTTTGTCTATTATTTTTTGAACCGTTATAAATAGAGAAAATTGAAAGGAGCAATAATCTTCAGAATAATGAGCTCTACAAATTGTCCATATATGTCAAAACTGTTAGACAAATTCTTATAGGAGTTATTGCCCATAAATGACAAATTTTACCATTTTTTTCATTTTTGCCTTTTATCATGAAAACCATATTTATTTAGAAACATTTTTTTTCCGTTATGCCTTTTATGATTTAAATTGTAATAGATAAATAAACACTTTAAATCAAGAAAATGATCAGAAAGGCAAGATCTACAAAAAATGTATTAAAAAGTCAAATTTTGCCAATATAATTGTAGACTGTCACTGTCATAGGAGTGATTGCCCTTAAATGAGGATTTTTTTTTACCCTCTTTTGTGTTTTGAGCAAAAACTAAAGAAGATAGAGAGAAACTAAACAGACTTAAAGATCAGTAATACAAGATCAACAAAATAGAGATTTTTGTCATAAAGTTTATTTTCGTCTACAATGTTGGAGAGTGTCCTTTGTTTGATATGCACATAGACCAAGGTGAGCGACACAGGCTCTTTAGAACATCTAGTTATTTTTAGTAAGTTTCTCGGCTACATCTCATCATGCGCTTTAGCCCTTCGATGAGAATTTTGACAAGAAACTCCTACTTATTATTGATATTTCAACAGTACAGTTCTCTTTTATGATACAGCAGAGTTTCAGTCCTACAAACACAAATTACCATGTCTTTGGCAATCATCTTATAAAACACATTCTGTGCTTGTTTTAATCTTTAGAATGTATAAAAAGTCAACATCTGTTAAAAACTGGTGAATTAAAGATAACATGAATAACCTATTTAAATGGAGGCTAATTGTAATAGGAATTTTCAGTCTAATAAAGTTATGTTTATGCAGGTTTTACTGTATATACTGTCCAATATTTGTGATTATCTATGTATGCTGACACCCTTTTATTTCCTGTACATAAGTGATATTTATAGTTGTTATTTCTTAGTACAACTCTAATATAGTTTATTATATGATATGATTAAAACTCCTTCTGTTTCCTTCAGGAAGTGATGAGATGATAAATAGTTCTAAGATCTTGAATTACTTCCCTTTCAACATCTCTTTAGTTTTATATTAAGGATATTTAGAGAATGACTACTGGGTATAGATAAAACATTTGACACAGGAATTTAATCTATGAGCTTGGTTTAAAAGCTAGAACAAATTTTCACTGAATTTTCAATTAATGTGATTTTTACACTGATATGTCTTAAATTGATTTTTTTTTTATATTTTGCATTTGAAAGGAGCTACCCTTACTGTATTTTATTTTGAACTTGTCCTACATGAAATTTGGTTGCCAGGTAAACTGAATTATTAAATGTTTTATATATGCCAAGCTTACAACACAACATCTAAATGTACAACTAGGCTATGTTAAAACTTTGCTAACAAAAGACAACAAAAATTGTATAAGGCCTATAGGTGTCTCCCTTAATCACTGCCTGTTTTACAATACCATTTATACTTTTGTATAAAATATTATACTGAAATACTAAATGGCATAGAATCCTTGACTTTAAATCTTGGATTACTACAAAAAATATTTCCTCTAATTCGTAGTTTTTCTTACCCTATCTATCCTTTTCCTGACCTGTTCATTATTTTTGTTTATTCAATGTGTGGTTTGTTTGATCTCAGTTCTTCATTGGTCAAAATTCAATTATGACGTCAAATTTTCTTGCTTTTCTCTGAATTTCCTATTGTGATGTCATGAAAAAAGGAAACCATTCCTAATGAAGTCGCAGAGAAAGAACATTTCTTTTTGCAGATCATTTGACAAAAAGGAATGAGTTTGCCTGCATATTGTATAAAAATCATTAGAGAAATAGATTCCACTACCAAATCTCGTTTAATACGATATTTATCCACTCTCGACAGTTAAATTTTAAATTTGAAAATTGAACTGTCTCAAGTGGATAAATATCGTATCACACTTGATGCAGTGGTATAATCTATATGACTGATGTAGAGAGGTATACTCACCTGATGCAGTGGTAGAATCTATATATATATATGACTGATGTAGAGACTCACCTATTTATGACTATTTAATAATGTAATTAAATTAAAGCCTGTTTATGAGGAAACAAATGAAGAAGATGAACAGGTAATAAGGATTTATTTTCATATAGAAGTGTAATGATGCTGCTTATATTATTTGCTGGCTTTTATGAATAGTACTGAACATGTAAGAAGCATGGCAAGATAATATATCTTCATTCAACCTAAATATGTTATGGGGAAGGTTAATTATTAGGATAGATTATAATTGTATTCAATCAAAGTTTCATATTTTTTCAGGGATTTTAAAATCTACTGCAGATATTTAAATTCTCCTGATATAAACAGCTTTCGCACTTTATGTGAAATATGTAATCAACAATTTTAAATTAAAAGAAATAATCTTCCATTCTGTTTCTGCTTCTGCTATAGATATATGCATCAGGAAAAAGGCCTTAATTACCATAGACATATTGCTTGCAAATGGTCAGTTTTTTAATAGCTTTTTGTCTCATCTGAAAGAAGTCGAAAAAGCAAGACTTTCCAGTAGTGATGCAGTGGCGCAATGGCATGGATGTAATAGTTTTGATTGGGTCAATTTGTGGGAAACTACTAGTGGTAGGTCAATGATACTTGGTATACAGTTCTATTAGCATTAGCACATCTCATGGTGATTATTTGGATGCACCCCCTCAGTCATGGTCAACTGACCTTAAAACTTTTGCTTAGTTTGCATGTATTAGTTTGTGATTAGGTCAGTTTAAGGGAAACCACTAGTAGTTGGTCAATGGTATTTGGTATGCAGATGTATAAGCATTGGCACATCTCATTTCCACATAGATTATTTGGCTCCACCCCTTCAGTCATGGTCATGACATTGAATGTTTTGCATAATTTACATGTTTAAGTTTGTGATAAGATCAGTTTAAGATGAACCATTGACGTAAAGTCAATGATATGTAGTATGTAGTTCAATTAGCATTTGCAAGTCTCATTTCCATGGAGATAAATATCACCCCACCACCTCATTATGGGTCATTGACTTTGAAACTTTTACAAGTCAAAGGTTGTTTTTAGGTTTAGTTTTAAGGGGACCACTTATGATAAATCAATGGTATTTGGTATGCAGTTTTATAATCATTGGCATTTTAATGGTATTTGGTATGCAGTTTTATAATGATTGGCATTTATCATTTTCACAGAGGTTATTTACCCCTGCACCTTCAGCCATGGTTAATCGATTTTGAATCTCTAGCATGGTTTACATGTTTAGATATTGCCATTTAGAATCAACATTTGCATTACACTATCACAATTACAAAAAGTCAAGACATATCTCTGTGTCAACAGTTTATTTTTTAAAGTAGTTGAAATCAGAATTGATCAAATGTTGAAGAGGACATCAATTACTTCATTTGTCCTATGTGACAAAGAGAATTTCTCGTGTGTTAGCATTTCCTGCCATCATATATATTTATTCAAGATACTTATTTTTAAATATGACCTTTTTTTACAAGATAAAACATATGAAAACAATAAATGAAAGGTCAGTTATTGATTTTGGACATTGAATGAATGAAAACATGTCCATCCAGTTTTAAAACAAATAAAGTGTGATAGTGCAATAAAAATATTCTGTGACTGGTAATTTTACTAAAGTTATGCCTGATCTATTTTGATGTCCACAGCTTAGATTCATCCTTTATCAATTTTAACTGAAAAACCCATTTGAAAGGTAGTATGTTCATGGTAATATGGCTTACCATATAATAAACTGATGATATAACCCTCCTTTCTGAAAATCATTTCACATTTCTTTGTCTCCTACCCCAGCATTGAAAATTGCAGGATTGTAGCTATTGGCAATTTGTCATTTCAGGATCAGAAGTATTCTGAGTAAAATTTTCGAAAGCTTCCATCAAAATTTGGGGACTGGTTAGCAACAGAAATTCAACCAATGATATGGTGTTATTCAAATTTTGGTGCAAAAAATATTTAAATAAAATGCTCCGCAGGGCGCAGCTTGATACGACCGCAGAGGTCGAACCCTGAACAGTTGGGGCAAGTATGGACACAACATTCAAGCTTGATACAGCTCTGAATTTGGATTGTGATTAAATATTTGACACAGCATAGGTTTCTGACACAGAATGAATGTGGTCTAAGAACTTAAAAATTTTAAATTGGACATTCACCTATTATGGTCCAATATCCAAAATCTAAATACATGGTTAGATTCAGCATATCAAAGAACCCCAAGAATTCAATTTTTGATGAAATCAAACAAAGTTTAATTTTGGACCCATTTGACCTCAATGTGGACAAAGTTGATAACGGGGCCCAAAAATCAAAAATCTAAATACATGGTTAGATTCAGCATATCAAAGAACCCCATATATTCAATTTTTGTTGAAATCAAACAAAGTTTAATTTTGGACCCCTATTTGGACCAACTTGAAAACTGGGCCCATAATCAAAAATCTAAATACATGTTTAGATTCAGCATATCAAAGAACCCTAAAAATTCAATTTTTGTTAAAATCAAACTTAGTTTAATTTTGGACCCTTTGGACCTTAATGTAGACCAATTTGAAACGGAACCAAAAATTAAGAATTTAAATACACGGTTAGATTCGGCATATCAAAGAACCCCAATAATTCAATTTTTGATGAAATCAAACGAAGTTAAATTTTGGACCCTTTGGACCTCAATGTGGACCAATTTAAAAACGGGGCCCAAAATCCAAAAACTAAATACAAGGTTAGATTCAGCATATTAAAGAAGCCCAAGAATTCAAGAATAAAACCCCATTGAAATTGATCAAGAAATAAGCAATTTATACGAAGTATCTTCTTTTGCACAATACTGTGCAATTGAATATTTCTTGCTATTGCGCAATACTCTACAATTGACAATTTCTTGCAATTGCGCAATATTGTGCTATTGGATATTTCTTGCTATTGCGCAATACTGTGCAATTGAAGATTTCTTGCTATTGCGCAATACTGTGCAATTGAAGATTTCTTGCTATTGTGCAATACTGTGCAATTGAAAATTTCTTGCTATTGCACAATACTTATTATATAATAATTAACACATCCTGTTTGGTGTGTATCTCCTACCATATCATTATTATTTGCTTTTAAATATAAATCAGAAATAACCAACTTAAAATGGAAAATTTTAAAAGAAAAAAAAAGGAAAAAAAGAAAAAAAAAGAAAAAAAAAAAATCCCTCCCCCCCCAAATTTTTTGAACCCCTTATGATTCATCACCCCCAAACTCAATCCCAGCCTTCCCTTTGTGGTATGGTACCTTGCAGTACAATTTCAGAGAGATCCATACACTTGAACACAAGTTATTGTCTGGAAACTAGAAAAAATGCTTATTTTTGGCCCCTTTTTGGCCCCCAATTCCTAAACGTTTCGGGCAATTACCCCCAAACTCAATTCCAGCTTTCCCTTTGTGATATGGAACCTTGTAGTACAATTTCAGAAATATCCAAACACTTACACACAAGTTATAGTCATGAAACTAGAAAAATGCTTGTTTTTTGCCCCTTTTTTGGCCCCTAATTCCTAAAATTTTGAGGCAATTACCCCCAAAATCAATTACAGCCTTCCCTTTGTGATATGGAACCTTGTGGTACAATGTCAGAGAGATTCATACACTTACACACAAGTTATTGTCTGGAAGTTACAAAAATGCTTATTTTTGGCCCCTTTTTGGCCCCTTATTCCTTAACTGTTGGTACCATAACCCCCAAAATCAATCCCAACCTTCCTTTCGTGGTATTGAACCTTATGGTAAAATTTCATGGAGATCCCTTCACTTAAACTAAAGTTAGAGTGCGAAAACCAATGTGTCTTCGGACGACGCCGGACGACGACGACGACTACGCCAACGTCATACAAATATACGACGAAAAAATTTTTAATTTTTGCGGTCGTATAAAAACCATAGTTCTTTAGATTCTGAAATGGCAAATGACCACATGAGAGTGAAAACACTATAAAGTTTATATAATGTGTTGAAGCTTGTCAGATTTTGATTTTATCAAAAATTATATTAAAACTTATAGCTGTTGTTATTTGAAATTGCCAATACTTTATCAAGGTATTGCTGTATTATAACTTGTTATTCAATATTTTGATTTGATTTTGATTGCTAACAATTTTTTTTATACGACCGCAAAAATTAAAAATTTTTTGGTCGTATATTGGTATGACGTTGGCGTCGTCGTCGTCCGGCGTCGTCGTCGTTGTCGTCGTCGTCGTCGTCCGGCGTCGTCCGAAGACACATTGGTTTTCGCACTCTAACTTTAGTTTAAGTGAATGGATCTCCATGAAATTTTACCATAAGGTTCAATACCACGAAAGGAAGGTTGGGATTGATTTTGGGGGTTATGGTAACAACAGTTAAGGAATTAGGGGCCAAAAAGGGGCCAAAAATAAGCATTTTTGTAACTTCCAGACAATAACTTGTGTGTAAGTGTATGGATCTCTCTGACATTGTACCACAAGGTTCCATATCACAAAGGGAAGGCTGTAATTGATTTTGGGGGTAATTGCCTCAAAATGTTAGGAATTAGGGGCCAAAAAAGGGGCAAAAAACAAGCATTTTTCTAGTTTCATGACAATAACTTGTGTGTAAGTAATTGGATATTTCTGAAATTGTACTACAAGGTTCCATATCACAAAGGGAAAGCTGGAATTGAGTTCGGGGTCAATTGCCCGAAACGTTTAGGATTTGGGGGCCAAAAAGGGGCCAAAAATAAGCATTTTTCTAGTTTCCAGACAATAACTTGTGTTCAAGTGTATGGATCTCTCTGAAATTGTACTGCAAGGTACCATACCACAAAGGGAAGGCTGAGATTGAGTTTGGGGGTGATGAATCATAAGGGGGTTCAAAAAATTTGGGGGGGGGGGGGGGATTTTTTTTTTATTCTTTTATTTTTCTTTTTTTCCTTTTTTTTTTCTTTTAAAATTTTCCATTTTAAGTTGGTTATTTCTGATTTATATTTAAAAGCAAATAATAATGATATGGTAGGAGATACACACCAAACAGGATGTGTAAATTATTATATAATAAGTATTGTGCAATAGCAAAAAATTTTCAATTGCACAGTATTGCACAATAGCAAGAAATCTTCAATTGCACAGTATTGCGCAATAGCAAGAAATCTTCAATTGCACAGTATTGCGCAATAGCAAGAAATATCCAATAGCACAATATTGCGCAATAGCAAGAAATTGTCAATTGTACAGTATTGCGCAATAGCAAGAAATATTCAATTGCACAGTATTGTGCAAAAGAAGATACTTCGTATAAATTGCTTATTTCTTGATCAATTTCAATGGGGTTTTATTCTTGAATTCTTGGGGTTCTTTAATATGCTGAATCTAACCGTGTATTAAGTTTTTGGATTTTGGGCCCCATTTTTAAATTGGTCCACATTGAGGTCCAAAGGGTCCAAAATTTAACTTTGTTTGATTTCATCAAAAATTGAATTATTGGGGTTCTTTGATATGCCGAATCTAACCGTGTATTTAGATTCTTAATTTTTGGTTCTGTTTTCAAATTAGTCTACATAAAGGTCCAAAGGGTCCAAAATTAAACTTAGTTTGATTTCAACAAAAATTGAATATATGGGGTTCTTTGATATGCTGAATCTAACCATGTATTTAGATTTTTGATTATGGGCCCAGTTTTCAAGTTGGTCCAAATCGGGGTCCAAAATTAAACTTTGTTTGATTTCAATAAAAATTGAATATATGGGGTTCTTTGATATGCTGAATCTAACCATGTATTTAGATTTTTTATTATGGGCCCAGTTTTCAAGTTGGTCCAAATCGGGGTCCAAAATTAAACTTTGTTTGATTTCAACAAAAATTGAATATATGGGGTTCTTTGATATGCTGAATCTAACCATGTATTTAGATTTTTGATTTTTGGGCCCCGTTATCAACTTTGTCCACATTGAGATCAAAAGGGTCCAAAATTAAACTTTGTTTGATTTCATCAAAAATTGAATATATGGGGTTCTTTGATATGCTGAATCTAACCATGTATTTAGATTTTTGATTATGGGCCCAATTTTCAAGTTGGTCCAAATCGGGGTCCAAAATTAAACTTTGTTTGATTTCAACAAAAACTGAATATATGGGGTTCTTTGATATGCTGAATCTAACCATGTATTTAGATTTTTTATTATGGGCCCAGTTTTCAAGTTGGTCCAAATCGGGGTCCAAAATTAAACTTTGTTTGATTTCAACAAAAATTGAATATATGGGGTTCTTTAATATGCTGAATCTAACTGTGTATTAAGTTTTTGGATTTTGGGCCCCGTTTTTAAATTGGTCCACATTGAAGTCCAAAGGGTCCAAAATTTAACTTTGTTTGATTTCATCAAAAATTGAATTATTGGGGTTCTTTGATATGCCGAATCTAACCGTGTATTTAGATTCTTAATTTTTGGTTCCGTTTTCAAATTGGTCTACATAAAGGTCCAAAGGGTCCAAAATTAAACTTAGTTTGATTTTAACAAAAATTGAATTTTTAGGGTTCTTTGATATGCTGAATCTAAACATGTATTTAGATTTTTGATTATGGGCCCAGTTTTCAAGTTGGTCCAAATCAGGGTCCAAAATTATACTTTGTTTGATTTCAACAAAAATTGAATATATGGGGTTCTTTGATATGCTGAATCTAACCATGTATTTAGATTTTTTATTATGGGCCCAGTTTTCAAGTTGGTCCAAATCGGGGTCCAAAATTAAACTTTGTTTGATTTCAACAAAAATTGAATATATGGGGTTCTTTGATATGCTGAATCTAACCATGTATTTAGATTTTTGATTTTTGGGCCCCGTTATCAACTTTGTCCACATTGAGATCAAAAGGGTCCAAAATTAAACTTTGTTTGATTTCATCAAAAATTGAATATATGGGGTTCTTTGATATGCTGAATCTAACCATGTATTTAGATTTTTGATTATGGGCCCAATTTTCAAGTTGGTCCAAATCGGGGTCCAAAATTAAACTTTGTTTGATTTCAACAAAAACTGAATATATGGGGTTCTTTGATATGCTGAATCTAACCATGTATTTAGATTTTTTATTATGGGCCCAGTTTTCAAGTTGGTCCAAATCGGGGTCCAAAATTAAACTTTGTTTGATTTCAACAAAAATTGAATATATGGGGTTCTTTAATATGCTGAATCTAACCGTGTATTAAGTTTTTGGATTTTGGGCCCCGTTTTTAAATTGGTCCACATTGAAGTCCAAAGGGTCCAAAATTTAACTTTGTTTGATTTCATCAAAAATTGAATTATTGGGGTTCTTTGATATGCCGAATCTAACCGTGTATTTAGATTCTTAATTTTTGGTTCCGTTTTCAAATTGGTCTACATAAAGGTCCAAAGGGTCCAAAATTAAACTTAGTTTGATTTTAACAAAAATTGAATTTTTAGGGTTCTTTGATATGCTGAATCTAAACATGTATTTAGATTTTTGATTATGGGCCCAGTTTTCAAGTTGGTCCAAATCAGGGTCCAAAATTATACTTTGTTTGATTTCAACAAAAATTGAATATATGGGGTTCTTTGATATGCTGAATCTAACCATGTATTTAGATTTTGATTTTTGGGCCCCGTTATCATTTTTGTCCACATTGAGATCAAAAGGGTCCAAAATTAAACTTTGTTTGATTTCATCAAAAATTGAATTTTTGGGGTTCTTTGATATGTTGAATCTAACCATGTATTTAGATTTTGGATATTGGACCATAATAGGTGAATGTCCAATTTAAAATTTTTAAGTTCTTAGACCACATTCATTCTGTGTCAGAAACCTATGCTGTGTCAAATATTTGATCACAATCCAAATTCAGAGCTGTATCAAGCTTGAATGTTGTGTCCATACTTGCCCCAACAGTTTAGGGTTCGACCTCTGCGGTCGTATCAAGCTGCGCCCTGCGGAGCATTTTATTTAATATTTTTTGTTGAAATTGGAAAAGATTTATATAATTAAGTTAATGTGTTACCACTCTAACGTGCTTCTATTATATTTGATGATTTCTTTATATCTTCTACCAAAACAATTTTGTCCTTAATATTAATCTTCTGATGAAGCTTTCTGAATAGTATGCCTAATTTTATTATCCAATATATATATTTTCTTTTATTGGTGTAAATAATATTTAAGTGCCAATCTGCCTAAGAATCAGGCAGTGGTGAAAACATGACAAACAAAAACCCACTCACGTTTATATTGATTTAAGTTCAAAATGTATAATGGTGCACAAATATAACATTAGTTTTCTTTTCCTGTTCTGGTATTTCAAGATATAATTTGGTTGAAATGCACTAGAAATTACCAATTAAGGGGAGCTAACTCTGTCATTCGCTATCATTCTAACAAAAAGTTATCTAGAGACGTCTCAAATTACCAGACATGCAGAAACAAAAGATGTTCGATTTCTAAATCAAGATGAGGGTAACTTCAAAATAGGATGGTTAGGTCGGCAGGTTTTTTCTTCATCCATGTTTTGAAATTCTTCTAAATTGCCTGATTTTTACAAAGACTGGCACTTTAAAACAATAACAAAAATGTTTGACGGTTACACAGGATGAAGAACATCAATAATAGTATTGTTATGTAAATATATGGGTTATTATAAGAATACTTTTTGTTGGGTGTACATTCACCTTAGATCCCTTCTATTCAAAAGTAGTTTGAAAAGCACCGATGATCTAGGCCCAATATCTGCTTGTCGGTAAGGCCAGGTATGGTGATCAGGATATAAACTACTGGGCATATTATGTAAACAGTAATAAATAAATCAGAATATCAATTTACTGTTGATAAACGAAAAAAATGAATAATATCAAGTAATGATTTGCAGACTTTTTTACAGTATTTTTTTTATGAATTTCAACAGTTATGGCAAATTGAATATTGTCAACAATATATCAGTAATCAATGTTATAACTTGCATTTAAATAAACGTAAACACTTTGAGATGAAGAATAACATTAGAAGGGATTTTCCGTTGCAGTTAGTTTTAACATATGCACATATATTAATTTAGTATAATGAATTGACACACCATCCCCTTTCTTATCCATTATATTGTTCATGTTCTACCTTGCATTGCTCAGAGTCTGAATCCCAGGCTTCAAAAAAAATTAATACTGTAAATTCAGAAATTATTGCTAGGTTTTTATTAATACAAATAATGTGACTGGGTGAGTATCGCAATAATAAGAACTTGAATTCTGATATCTGAAACATAGATTTGTATGCAGATTTTTTCGAAAATCGCAAGAATTAAACTCGCATTTTTGTCCATTCTTGAAAAATCGCAATAATAAATGCCTCACATTTATTTAAGTTTGTTTATTTTTATACGCCCGTCAAATTTCAAATTTTTGACGGGACGTATTATGGTATACAAATGTCGGACGTCCGTCCGTCTGTCTGTCCGTCTATCTGTCTGTCCGTCTGTCTGTCCGGCGTAAAAATGTCGCACCGTAACTTGAGAATGACTTATCCAAATTTCATGAAACTTAATATAGTGGTTTCTTATGATGGTCAAACGATCTGTATACTTTTTGGTGAAAATAAGATTAAAACTTTTTGAGTTACGGGACTTAGTAACTAAAACAGGTGTGTGTTTTTTTTCACATGCCGCGCCGTATCTCAAAAACAATTTATGACTATTGCTTAAAACTTTACACACTTCTTAGTTATATTAATCTTAAGATCTGTATACTTTTTTGTGATGATTCAAAATTTTATTTTAGAGATATTGAGTATTTTGTTAAAAAAGGGGGAGGGGTTTTTCACATGTTGCGCCGTATCTCAAAAACAGTTTATGATTATTGCTTAAAACTTTACACACTTCTTAGTTATATTAACCTTAAGATCTGTATACTTTTTGGTGATGATTCAAAATTTTATTTTTGAGTTATTGAGTATTTTGTAAAAAAAAGGGGGAGGGGTTTTTCACATGTCGCGCCGTATCTCAAAAACGATTTATGATTATTGCTTAAAATTTTACACACTTCTTAGTTATATTAATCTAAAGATCTGTATACTTTTTGGTTTTGATTCAAAATTTTATTTTTGAGATATTGATTTTTTTTTTTTTTAAAAGGGGGGTTTTCACATGTCGCGCCATATCTCAAAAACAATTTATGATTATTGCTTAAAATTTTACACACTTCTTAGTTATATTAATCTAAAGATCTGTATACTTTTTGGTTTTGATTCAAAATTTTATTTTTGAGATATTGATTTTTTTTTTTTTTTAAAAGGGGGTTTTCACATGTCGCGCCGTATCTCAAAAACGATTTATGATTATTGCTTAAAATTTTACACACTTCTTAGTTATATTAATCTCACTATACAAATCCTTGATTAATCTAAAGATCTGTATACTTTTTGGTTTTGATTCAAAATTTTATTTTAGAGATATTGAGTTTTTTGTAAAAAAAAAGGGGGATTTTCGCATGTCACGCCGTATGTCAGAAACTATTCATGCTTATTGCATAAAAATTCACACACAAGACGACGGGCGTATCATGGGCTCATGGGGCAGCTTTATTTAATTTTGATTCATGAATTGAATGAAGTATATGTACTTGTAGGGAAAATATGGTTAAGATAGTTTTCCATTGAAGTCATTTGATATGGAGTTTATTTCCATTTGCTGCCATTCTGTAGGGCAATCTGGTTGATTAACTGGATTTCAGAAGGAAAAATCGGTTATTGATTTGGGGATGTACAGCGGGAGGGCGACTGCCAAACTATGTCCGTGCATTTACTAATGAACCATTCAACCAAAGCTTTTCAAGTTTTAATATATTGTTACTGATGACAAAATGGAGGTCAAGTTAAATATTGAAGATTTTCACTTTCACCGTTCAGGAGTTATGTTTCTTGAAAGATTGAAAAATGGTCTTTCTAGTCGTGTCCGTGCTTTAACTCATGAACCGGTCAACCAAAGCTTTTCAATTTTAATATGTTGTTACTGATGACAAAATGGAGGTCAATTTCAATATTGAAGATTTTCACTTTCACCGTTCAGGAGTTATGGTTCTTGAAAGATTGAAAAATGGTCTTTCCAGTCGTGTCCGTGCTTTAACTCGTGAACCGTTCAACCAAAGCTTTTCAAATTTTAATATGTTGTTACTGATGACAAAATGGAGTTCAAGTTCAATATTGATGATTGTCACTTTGACCGTTCAGGAGTTATGGTCCTTATGATATTGAAAAATGCCAGGACACAAATAAATGTAAAAAAATCTGGTTTGCTGTCACTCTGACAGCCTCTTGTTTTCCTTTTTGCCAGATTTTAATATGTGGATTAGGATATAATCTGAATACAAAGGCTAAAAAGCAAAATCTAGCTCAAAAATACTAGATCTTAGTGATACTTTATACAAGGTCTAAACAAATAAAAATTGTTCAGAAAACAATCTTCTCTAAAGTATAGCTTTAAGTATTGCAAATTGAATTCAGTAAATTTGCTAAGGAACTTAAGCACCTTGCCCTCCAATATGAGGGCAAAGGGAAATAACTCATAACTCAAATTATGTCAATAGAAAACTATGTACTTTTTTTTACTTTGCTTGCTACTGCAAATATACAAATGTAGTTATGACAATAACTGATTCAGTGTTTTCTTAATGTCTGCATTTAGAATATAAAGAGGAATAAATCTTAAACAAAGAAAATCATTCTACATCATGCATGCTTAGAGAATGTAGAAAATTGAACTGTACAAATTGTATATTTAAAGCAAGTTTATGATGAAACAATGGAACAGGTAAGATCTCTAGGCTAATAGCTTTAGCTTTTACAGTATACAATGTATGAGGCAATGTAAATGATTAAAAAGATTTAAGAATGATATTCATTTTTATTTTGAGTTTTTTCTTACTGTTTGCAACCACCAGCAGTTTGTCGAAAAACATGAGAACTTAAAAGCCATCTTTGATAAGTGAAATCTTTTGTGTAGTATTCACACACAAACTCACATCTAGTCATACTGATACACATAATTTTTGTTTGACCATCAAGGGCATTTTATTTTTACCAGTAAGGGAAAACCATCTTTTAGGAAGTTGTTATTCTTGTCAAAGCCTCAATAAATACATATGAGGTAAAGATGGAATGACAGGGATGAAGCGCTGGAAAATTGGGCTGCCACCAGAGAAAAAATGGTTTGTTGAATAGGGTAAAAATTTTGCTCTGCAATGGTTACAGGCCACTTATCGATCCCTCAAAGAGTTGTTGCAAGGGTTCTTTAATATGCAAAAAATATGAGGCTTAAGATTTAACAGCCTCATTCTGAGAGAACGTACCTGCCAATTGTACACACCCCACAGCCAAGGCTTTTACTGCTAGTCTGAAGAAGACCATGTAACCATATTTCTATGACCCAAATCACCCTGGGGGACACCTGTTTATTGTTAAAGACACCTGTTTATTGTTAAAGACTGTATTTTGCCATCTTGATGTCTTTTAGTTATTTTGGTGATTGGGTTGCTGTCTGGTTAAAATATACCATACTTCTCCTTTAATTCTGTGTGAAATCATGACAGAATAAATACAATAGGCTTCATTTAAAGTAGGAACATGCTAAAACAATGCAAGCTCCTCTGAGCTTTTACACCAACATTTACAAAACATAAAACATAGTTTAGACATTAACATACACATAAAGCACATGGACTTAGATATACTATGTATAGGTATTATGGAAATTTTCTTATAATCAGTTATTATAGCATTGTGTAGATATTTTTGCACACCTGTAATTTATTCACAACCTCACAGCTTGTGTGTTTTTATATTGTTTTGTTTATGTTTTTATGTTTATGTAAGTCAAATAATAACATCATTACATGCATGTGTATTCAAGTAAACCATTGATAAAGAATGTCCTAGCTAGCAGAAAAAAATATAAGGAGTGTGGTGCGTCTCTGATCCTGCTATGTTTCCCTCTGCCATTTATGTGCATTCTCTATAACTGGGGTAAATTGTTTCCTTATAAAGTCGGATAGCTGTGTCAAGCAAAGAAGTCAATACCCTACTTTACATAATGGTTCATTATTTTAACCAACAACAAAAAAATCAACCACTTTTTTTTACCGTAGCGGTAGGGGCATTAAGTTTTACCCTTGTCTGTCTGTACGTACGTCCCAAAATTGGTTTCCTTTCTCTAACTTGAGTTTGCCTCAACCAAATGTTATGAAACTTATACACAATGGTTATTACCGCTAAACACAGATCAAGTTTGAATTTTGGTGGCTTCACTTTAACCGTTCTAGAGTTATGCCCCTTTATAAATGGAAAAATTGCAAAATTTTTAGTTTCCGTTCTCTAACTTAAGTTTGCCTCAACCAAATGTTATGAAACTTATGCACAATGCTTATTACCATTAAACACAGATCAAATTTGAATTTGGGTGGCGTCACTTTAACTGTTCTAAAGTTATGCCCCTTTATAAATGGAAAAATTGCAAAATTTTTAGTTTCCGTTCTCTAACTTAAGTTTGCCTCAACCAAATGTTATGAAACTTATACACAATGCTTATTACTACATAATCAGATTAAGTACGAAATTTGGTGGCGACACTTTTACCATTCTTGAGTTATGTCCCTTTATAAACATAAAAATTGCTGAATTTTTCGTTTCCATTCTCTATAACTTTAGTTTGTCTCAACCAAATATTATAAAACTTATACACAACCGTTCTAGAGTTATGCGTGTTTACAAATAGAAAAATTGCTGAATTTTTAGTTTCTGTTCTCTACTTAAGTTAGCCTCAACTAAATGTTATGAGACTTACACACAATGCTTATTACCACACAACTCAGATCAAGTTCAAATTTGGGTAGCGTCACTTTTACCGTTCTTCAGTTATGTCCCTTTATAACTATATGATATGCAAGCGGGGGCATCATCTGTGTCCACATGTGGACACTATCCACATTAATTCATATTTAGTCTACTAGAGGCATGTTGTAAGGCAAATTATTGTTAATAACCATTATACCAATAGTTTGTAATGTCTCCTCCCCTTTTTTATAATTAATTTTTTTTTTAAGTGTTATATTTTGTACTTGAAATTATATGAAAGTAAATCAACTAAAATCACATTACTCAATCAGACTTGTATGTATTAGATCTACCCATGAGGGTGTTGGCTCAATTGAGTATCTAATTTACAACAAGGTATTTTGGTTAATGCAAATGGGGGGTCTTATAGCAATTTGACCTTGAAAAACATGATAAATGCAGGATATCCTGTTACATTTAATGACATATTGGTATAGTTTAAACAACCCATTAATTACAACTTACAAAAGCAGATTCTGAAAATTGTCTACGGCATGTCAGGCTTTTATTAAAATTAAAAAAGTTCATTTATCATTTAAACTTAATTTTTATGATTAGTTTATAATGAAATTTAAAAAGTATATGCATTTTTGCTTAAAATTTTCTTAATACAAAAGTATTACAAATAACTACAAATGTATAATTAGACTTAATAATAGATTCACATGTACAGTGCTCCCATGTTATCTATTGCCAATTCTTACATTTCCAAACTGGTGTATCATCATTGTGTATCATTGATTTTCTTACTCATATGAATCACATTTTAGGTTTGTACTAAAAAATATGCTTGTCATATTTCCACCCCAAAATATCGCCATTAGGCATTTGCAAACCAATTTCAAGAACAAATTTGCCAAAATCAATAAAATTCAACTCTTTATGAATGCCAAATTACATGAAAGATTTTTTTTCTCAAAACTATATTATAAATTATAATTCATTATAAATGATAACTGATCAACTCATTCCTTATTTTAATGATTGTCAATCTTAACTTTTCATGCAATGATTTACAGTCCATCTATCCATATTTTCCATGAAATAAAAGTAAGTGGCAAAAATACAGAATACAAAGAGAATAAACGGATGTCCTGCTATAAAGCAAGCTCCAAATATCTCAATGGCATTACTGCCTCCCTGTAACACCATTTCATAGCAATAAAAAAAATTAAGTCTGAAGGTGGCAGCTAAACAAGGGAGCTCTGGACTTGATATATATATATATATATCATTATTCACTAATTCATGGATTAAATGTTTTAATGATAGTGTGTTTCCCCAAGAAATACTGTATATATCCATAATTTGTAATAGCTTGAGGTTTGTATAATGTTCAGCATGTGTATGCTTCCCTTTGTAATTGTGGTTAGGTTCTGATAAAAACAGACAACTTTGCTAACATTTACATCATTTGCTCTCTGTTGGAGAGCTGTCTCATTGACAATCATAGCACAATATATAATGTTTGTATTGAAATAATGGAACTGTAGAAGCAGTAACCTTTTATATAGAATTAACATCACATAGACTAAAATCAGGGTTGTTATTAAGAGTTCCAGAATATAGTATGCATACACTTCAGGTACTAAACCCTGTTGTGTTCTGATTCAGACATAATTCTACGATGTCATACTCTTTACTCATTTTTGTTGTAGATATCTTTATACATGGTGTTAGTGAGCATATTGAATTTAGTTTTAGTACAGGGACTAAATCCCATAGTCAGCTGGTTATTTAAAGTTCCATATTAAAAAAAAAAACAAAACAAACAATCTTATAAAACCCACGATATTCTAGTTTGAGGCTACCACCTCATAGAATAATGAAAATCCTTGGTGTTTTGACTTTTACTGTTCTAGAAATTGAAATTACCCTATATAGAATTTTGAAGATGATTTCCTTTTACTTACTGATTGTACTGTAGTGTTTTCATTACTATAGAATCATATTAGAAATGGTATTAATATGAAAGAGGTTCTTTGAGAGAAATACTTATCCATTTGAGCCTCTAGTTCATTAAATCCCTGCATTTATATTTTGACCATTTCTATGAATTTAATATATACAATACAATTTGTCTCACTTTTTCTATTAGTATCGAGAAGATATTCATAAGTGGATTTTATATGTATTTTCAGTTTTAGATTATAGAATTAATTTAGATTAAGCTGGGATAAAGATAGTTTCTGGAATAATTTCGTAGTAAATTGGTCAGTTAAAAAAAAATTACAAGTATCTTTCGATAGTTTTCTAATATATTTTAAAAAAATCTGAATGAGCTATCTGCAGACATCTAATTAAAAGAGTTACTGTATTTGCATTATGTAAGGATTAAGCATTTGTGTTGCTATGGTTATTACATCTTGATATATATTTACAGCCTGTATATGAAGATCCTGATGAGCAACCTGTGAAGAAACCGGCTCCAAGGAGACAACTTCCTGTCCCAGAACAGGTATTTTTTATAAAGTTTAAGATCAGTTATAAAGACCAATCTCTTTAAAAAAAAAAAAAAAAAAAAAACAGGCAAGAAGGATTTTGTTTTTATGCCCCACTTAGGGGCTTTACGTTTTTCAGTCTGTGCGTCCGTTCGTTCATTTGTCCGTTTGTCCGTCTGTCCCACTTCATGTTAAAGTTTTTTGGTCAAGGTAGTTTTTGATGGAGGTTGAAGTCCAATCAACTTGAAACTTAGTACACATGTTTCCTATGATATGATCTTTCTAATTTTAATGCCAAATTAGAGTTTTGACCACAATTTTATGGTCCACTGAACATAGAAAATGATAGTGCGGTGTGGGGCATCCGTGTACTATGGACACATTCTTGCTCATGTATATTTTTTTATTGTTTTATACATTCTACATAAAACATTGTTTTAATCTTATCCCTTATTTTATCTTCTTATGTTTATTTCTCTCCATAAGAAATCATGTTAGATATTGATCTATGTACTACAGTGACTGTCACTCAGCGGTTTGTAATGAATATTATCCTTTTAATGTTTATTTTCATTAGTTTTGGTACAAGCAAATTCACATATTCAATTTCATTCCAAAAAAATTGGAAAACATATTTAAAAGCATTTGTTGTTCTCTGATATTTGCTATGCGGTATTATAGGAAAGAAAGGTTAAATGCTGACTACAGATGTCATTCAACTAGAGTACTCAGTGTTCTCCCTAGTATTTTCAATTGATTTGAGATAGCTCTCTGCTTATATTATAGCACTTCATTTATGCTACAGTTTGTTAAAATATATATAGCACTTATGTTAAAATTTTGGCAACCTGGTACTATGAGGCTCTGGTGAGAACACTAGTACAATTTTGGCAGAATTACTGTTGCACATGTATTAAAAATCTTATGAAATGAGTCCAAGTAAATCCTGTAGCATAATGTACAGTATTCCCTACTATAGAAAAATTTAAAAATAAATAGTTAAATTGGTTGGCAAGACTAGCAGTTTAAAATTTGAAATGTAACAGTTTTAATTTTGCTGAAAATAACCAGATGTAAAATCTATCCGTGTATCACCTTCTGTGAAGTATTAGTTTTATCTTGTAATTTATTATATGAACCAGTCCTAATAAGTGTCATATCTCTTTACAGACTAATACAATGGGGAGAAAAATACCAATGAGGACGACATCAGAACCAGATGCGCCAGCACCGCCACCTCCCAGGGGTAAGGGGAGACAACCCCCAAAGGTAGGTCTCTAGGAAAATATCACTGATGATCAATAGTTTTCATATGAAATGAAACACAGAAGACATGATACATGTTGTTCTTAAGAGAAATTCCAAGCTGAATTATAGACTTATGTTAGGTCATAGCAAATTAATTTTTAGTTCTTTCGAGTAGTATTCACTAATTTTTGTTCATTAAGGTTTAAATTAATTACAATTCTAAATTATTTTATCAACAACTTATTGTCACTGTGCCTAAATGAAAATATAAAAATCTCCAAGGATTACAAGTTTCAAAAGTTTATTTTCATACTAAACACTGAGCTTTATTTGATAATTGAAAGGCATTATTAAAACCTGTCATCTCCCAGTCTCCTTTCATGATTTAAATTAAATTCAAATAGGGTAAATTCAGAAATTATTGCATGCATTTATTATTGTGATTTCTGAAGAATGGACAAAAATGCGAGTTTAATTATTGTGATTCAAAAAAAATCTACATACAAATATATATTTGATATCAGAATGCAAGTTCTTATTATTGTGATATTCAATTAGTCGCATTATTTACATTAGTACAAACCTCGTAATAATTTCTGAATTTACAATAGACAACATTTCATTCCTAAGGAGGATAACAATTAAATTAATTAAAATATTTCTTTTTGTCAGGCTGGAAAGAAGGCAGAGGAATCCTCAGCTCCAGTACCTCCTCCTCCTAGAGGGGTCAGAAGACCTCCTCCAGAACCTACGGTAAGATATTATTAAAGTTTGTTATAGTAACAATAGGATAGGAGTGTGGAGGGTTGCACTATTATTTGCTAGTTTGGTTTTAGACAGACTTTTTAATCTTTTTGATGGACTAGGTGATTTGTTATTGTGCATGTATGTATTATAGACTTTGTCAAGTTTAAATAAATACTAAAATGTGATACAAGATAGTCAATTTGGTGTCATTTTGAATGAAATTAAACATTTTTGGCGTAAATTACATGAATGAAAAATAGACATAACTTTTGTTGAAAACTTTTTTTATCATTACTTAAAAATTTATGTGAATCTTTCAAAGTGCTAAAATATAATTTAGTTTGTAAATAGAGTTTATAAGAGTCATGTTTTGAAGCAATATTTCAAATATGTAAAGATGTTTAGAGAATCTGTCCACATATACTATATCAAAGAGTGCTTAATCATGATTATATGAAAACCAATCATGAAATATATTACTATGGTGATCTGATTATACTTTTATTTTCCAAGGTCCTAATTGTAATATATTAAAAATCTGGGAACTTTTGCAGTCCATATTAAATTTTTATTTATTTATTCAAGTGACCCAAATGTTTTTGAAAATCCAAATGTAAAATAATAATTTAAATATTGGAACCTTTTGTACCGTAATCTTCTTTGTTTTGAAGCTCTGAATAGTTATTTTCGGAAATTCCGTGCAATGTTAAAGTTCAAAATAATGTTCGACAAAATCACAGAGGTATATAATATATATATATACATTGTATTAGGGGAATAAAATAAAAGAAAATTATCGTAAAACTATCCTAAGGTGCATGCTATAGTATTATATACTTAATACTTTATATCACCTTGCACAATGCATTTAAATGAACCACATATGGTTAATTTTGGGGTAGAAATAAATGAATCCACAGTACATTAAAAAAATCATGAATACAATTTTGTTAGTAATATCTTATTTATGAATTGCATTTAAATCGTACCAATTTTATAGCAAGAGGAATTTTATGAGGACCCAGATAACCCACCTCAGACTGGACGTAAAACATCAGGACCTCAAATACCTCCACCTCAAGATGATTTTGAACAGGCTAGTAATGCTTTGTTTTGCTTTTTGTAGTATAATTGTTTTGGCATTACTATTAACTATCGTTGAAATCAGGAAGAAAAGGTTTTTAAGCCTAGAGGCACTGTCATTTAATGTTTAAAGTACGACAGAAGTTGACATTGTGCATAAGTTATACAAATTCAGCTTTGAAGACAGTTCCCCAAGGAAAATGTACTTCTAAGCCAATTTCTTTTGTTTTATTAGTTTAAATTTTTGATAGAATTTTAAATTAACACTTTTAATTGAAAGGATGATTACAAGTAAATTTACATTTTTAAAATCCTTAATAATCTCAATTAGTACCATAAGCCATTATAAAACTTAGTGCTTATATTATTCCATTTTGTGTATTGAACATCTGCAGGTCCATATGGAGCAATGCAGAGAGTCGATGATTACATTTTATTGTGACATCATAAATATTGACAAAGAGTGTTATGAAACGCCATTCAACATTTTGTTTCAGTAAAATTACTTAAAATTTTAAAAATTCAAGTTATTAAATATATTATTCTACTCTCTATGTATAAATCTTAGCTTTGCTTTAGTGTATTTACTTTATGGGAGATGGCCAACCACTCCATAAACAGTCAAGGCCCTCAGTTCTAAAGACTATATGTTAAAAAAATTTTTTATTTAGAATATTACTTTAAGTTCATTTTCATGTTTATATCCAATAAAAAAGATCTGAAAACATAATGGAAGTGAGCAAAAATAAAAGGAATGTAAACAGTATCTTCAACAAAAACAGACATTCAGATTAAGTGATAAATAAGTAATAAAAACTGGTTGTACTACAGGACGACTATGAGGAACCAGTTGAAGTTTCCCATCCACCATCTAAAGGTCATAAGTCATCTATTCGTCCTTTACCTAAGGGGCACCCACACGAGGAAAACTTTGAACAGGTTATTGAATGTATCAAACTTTGCTAGTCACTGAATATTTTAGAATCTTGAAATACCTTTGAACAGAGCCATGTGACAATACTATAATAATATGAAATTGGTTTATAATTAGAATTCTTCTAGTTCTTATTTCTGCATTGATTCTTTTGATACTTTGTATTCTAATACCAAAGATGCCTTAAAAATTAGCCTATACTTCATCCACTGATCAGATCTTGTGTAAGTGTGTAATGTAATTAAAAAAAAAAGCCATATCTGTTGATGGTTTAATTTAAGTTTATAGGTGAAAAATATATTTTCATTATCATTACTTGTTACCAGATTAAACTTTTGAAGTAATTCAATCTTACTTAAAGAAATACAATCATGAACTAAACATTATAATTTATATATAACTTGAAGTAGTAGAATGATTAACTAAATGTATGTAGTTTTTGATTGAATCTTGTTTATGTATCCTATCACCAAGATTAGATTGACAGAAAGATGACAATGGTCTACCTGAAATAAACATGATGCCTTAGATTTTACAATTATGGGTTGTTTATGAATTAGACCGTTGGTTTTCCTGTTTGAATTGTTTTACACTAGTCATTTTGGGGCCCTTTATAGCTTGCTGTTCGGTGTGAGCCAAGGCTCCGTGTTGAAGACTGTACTTTGACCTATAATTGTTTACTTTTTACACATTGTGACTTGGATGAAGAGTTGTCTCATTGGCACTCATACCACATCTTCTTATTTCTATGAACAACTTTGCACTATTTAACTAATCAAAAATGCTGTATGGTACTTGTTTTCTGGCTTGTGTATTCATCAATTAGTCCCTCAGAAAAGCTGTTTCGTACTTGTTTTCTGGCCTGTGTATTCATCAGTTGGTCCCTCAGAAAAGCTGTACGGTACTTGTTTTCTGGCCTGTGCATTCATCAGTTAGTCCCTCAGAAAAGCTGCATGGTACTTGTTTTCTGGCCTGTGCATTCATCAGTTCGCCCCTCAGAAAAGCTGCATGGTACTTGTTTTCTGGCCTGTGCATTCATCAATTAGTCCCTCAGAAAAGCTGTTTCATACTTGTTTTCTGGCTTGTGCATTCAACTGTTTGTCCCTCAGAAAAGCTGTACGGTACTTGTTTTCTGGCCTGTGCATTCAACTGTTTGTCCCTCAGAAAAGCTGTACGGTACTTGTTTTGTGGCCTGTGCATTCATCAGTTAGTCCCTCAGAAAATCTGTTTCGTACTTGTTTTCTGGCTTGTGCATTCATCAGTTTGTCCCTCAGAAAAGCTGTACAGTACTTGTTTTCTGGCCTGTGCATTCAACTGTTTGTCCCTCAGAAAAGCTGTACGGTACTTGTTTTCTCGCCTGTGTATTCATCAGTTAGTCCCTCAGAAAAGCTGTTTCGTACTTGTTTTCTGGCTTGTGCATTCAACTGTTTGTCCCTCAGAAAAGCTGTACGGTACTTGTTTTCTGGCCTGTGCATTCATCTGTTAGTCCCTCTGAAATGCTGTATGGTACTGTTTTCTTGCCTGTGCATTCAAGTTTTAAGTTTTGGTTTAAAATAGTTAATCATGAAGTTGTGGTCAACTTGAAACTTAGTACACAAGTTCATTATGATATGAACTTTAGAAAATATATGACAACTAGGTAATTTTCATGGTTCAAAGAACTTGAAAATGGGATAGTGTGAAATGAGTATATTTTCACCAATCTTCTGCATATCAGTAAACCAGATATAAAAACCAGGAAAGGAAACTAACTCCTTAGGGTCAAATTCAAATAATGAAAATAAGACAATATGTGATAGCGTATATATTACAAATAAGATTGTTTGATAGATAATTTCATAAAAATGTACAGTTGTGGTGTAGATGTAACTTTTAATCAGAATTGTTATCTGTGTAAACAAACTTTTTATTGTGTTACCCTTATTATAAGAGTCACTATACAATTTTTCTCCTATTACCAGTTTTCCTACTCTGATGAGTTTTACAAACCACTTGGTAGATGCGGGTATCAATATCCCAGTAGTCAGCACTTTTATCACTAATGAGATTTACTATGACTATATTACGTACATGGGATCCTTGCAAGGTCTTCAGTTGGTTGCTGTCTATCGTAATTGTTTTTCGTTTTTTGGTGCCGTACATAAATCAGGCGTATGTTTTTTTTTCTTTGAATGTTTATGTTTTATCATTTCTGGGCCTTTTAAAGCTTAATGTACATTATGGATTTTGCTCACTGTTGAACTATGTCAACTACATTTAGAGCATGGAATGATAGTAAGGTTTACATATTTTTGCAAGGTTCAGCTCACCTTGACATCATTTTCATGGTTCATTGGTCAAATTTTTTATGGTTATACTATTAATAGAAGGTCAGTTATGTTTGGTCTATGGAATGATTGTTAGATGTATTTGTCAGTCTAAGAGTGGTGTGACTTGGAGCTCATTTTCTTGGTTTATTGGTCAACATTAAGTTTTCCTGACTAGGTTGATTTCTCAGATACTACAAGCAAAAGATTTACTATATTCAGTGTATGGAATGATTGTTATGTGTGCATGGGGTTCAGCAAGGTTCATCTAACCTTGAGCTTATTCAATAATGATAGATAAAGCAGGCAAGATTTTTCAGTGTGTGCACTCTTGTTTGTAAATTTGAAACATCTGTCATGTATACATATTACCCAAGCAAAAACTGCAGAATGATAACTTATTATCAACAATTGTATGGACTTAAAGGTAGAAGTCTGAAAACCACAGATGCTTTTTTCTTCATACAATAGAATTTGTTATATCTTTTTAGCTCACCGGGGCCCGAAGGGCCCCATGTGAGCTTATGCCATCACTTGGCATCCGTCGCCTGTCGTCGCCTGTCATCGTCGTCGTCTGTCATCGTCGTCGTCGTAAACTATTTCAAAAATCTTCTCCTCTGAAACTACTGGGCCAAATACCTTCAAACTTTAACTAAATGTTCCTTAGGGTATCTTGTTTATAAATTGTATCCGAAGTTTTGATCCATCGACAAACATGGCCACCATGGCTAAAAATAGAACATAGGGGTCAAATGCAGTTTTTGGCTTATATCTCAAAAACTAAAGCTTTTAGAGCAAATCTGACATGGGGTAAAATTGTTCAATTGGTCAAGATCTATCAGCTCTGAAATTTTCAGACGAATCGAACAACCCATTGTTGAGTTGCTGCCACCGAATTGGTAGTTTTAACAAAATTTTGCAGTTTTTTGTGATTATTTTGAATATTATTATAGATATATATAAACTGTAAGCAGCAATAATGTTCAGCAAAGTAAGATCTACAAAAAAGTTAATATGACCATAATTGTCAATTGCACCCTCAAGGAGTTATTGCCCTTTAAAGACAATTTTACACTATTTGTTCATCAAGTTTGCTAACATTTAAAAATCCTCTCCTCTGAAACTACTTGGCCAATTACCTTCAAACTTTAACTAAATATTCCTTGGGGTATCTTGTTTATAAATTGTATCCGAAGTTTGTATCCATCGACAAACATGGCCGCCATGGCTATAAATAGAACATAAGGGTCAAATGCAGTTTTTGGCTTATATCTCAAAAACTAAATCTTTTAGAGCAAATGTGACATGGGGTAAAATTGTTTATTTGGTCAAGATCTATCGGCCCTGAAATTATCAGAGGAATCGAACAACCCATTGTTGGGTTGCTGCCACCGAATTGGTAGTTTTAACAAAATTTTGCAGTTTTTTGTTATTATTTTGAATATTATTATAGATATATATAAACTGTAAGCAGCAATAATGTTCAGCAAAGTAAGATCTACAAAAAAGTTATTATGACCATAATTGTCAATTGCACCCTCAAGGAGTTATTGCCCTTTAAAGACAATTTTACACTATTTGTTCATCAAGTTTGCTAACATTTAAAAATCCTCTCCTCTGAAACTACTTGGCCAATTACCTTCAAACTTTAACTAAATATTCCTTGGGGTATCTTGTTTATAAATTGTATCCGAAGTTTGTATCCATCGACAAACATGGCCGCCATGGCTATAAATAGAACATAAGGGTCAAATGCAGTTTTTGGCTTATATCTCAAAAACTAAATCTTTTAGAGCAAATGTGACATGGGGTAAAATTGTTTATTTGGTCAAGATCTATCGGCCCTGAAATTATCAGAGGAATCGAACAACCCATTGTTGGGTTGCTGCCACCGAATTGGTAGTTTTAACAAAATTTTGCAGTTTTTTGTTATTATTTTGAATATTATTATAGATATATATAAACTGTAAGCAGCAATAATGTTCAGCAAAGTAAGATCTACAAAAAAGTTATTATGACCATAATTGTCAATTGCACCCTCAAGGAGTTATTGCCCTTTAAAGACAATTTTACACAATTTGTTCATCAAGTTTGCTAACATTTAAAAATCTTCTCCTCTGAAATACAGGTGAGCGAATCAGGTTCTTGAGAGCCTCTTGTTTAAAGAAAAAAAAAATCATTTTTTAATTGCAAAAAAAAATAACCATCAGATAAATAGCCTTACTGGTAATGGGCAAATCTATCAGAGCATAATGAAACATAATTTTCAATATTGAAAAAAAAATTTGAGAATTAAAGTAGAGAAATTGTTTTAGGGGAGAAAATTTTCCAACGTTTCAATTAATTGACAAATGATGCAAACTGGTGGAATGGCCTACTACCTATTATGAATTAACTATGTGATTTAAATCTAGATAAAGATTAAAGCAATCATTTGTACTTTTTTTGGATTATATTCATTTTTTTAAGACTGATAATAAAACACATTTATGCAATCTACATGAAAAATTATAATGAAAGGAACTTCTGGCTAAAGTTGGCAGTTGCACATCAATAGAATGCATTGGATGCATTTCCAATTAATAACTTTCTCAGTTTCACACAGCTGACAGTTGATTGGAGTTTGTCCTTTCCAGATAGATTTAGAAGAACCAATAATTAATGTCTACTATATTCTATTTCTTTTATATTTTGATACTGTGTATTTACTGTAAACATGACCTTTGTTTATATTGATAATTAAACTTTATCTGACGTTATATAGATAATGCAACTATATTCATACCTTTTAAAAGTTAAAACCTTTACAGTTATATGTGTCAGGAACAATTACAATTATTATACTAATATAAATACTGAAAATGGAGCATTCAAGTTTCATGTCCCTGCTTTTCAGAATGCATTGATATTCAAGTGTTCACCTAATGTACTTTTCTTATAATGGAAATTCTAAGATAAACAAATATTAATCAATTTTAGCTTTAATTATTGTTATGCAGTAAGTACAGCTATCTGTACAAGACTTTAAATTGTGTCCATGTCTACTTTCACTTCAAAAATTCTTTTCAAAAGATCTGTTTTTTGGTAAATTTTTGTAAGAATAATAGATAAAAGATACACAATTACATCTATGGACTCTGTATGACTATGGTTCATTCAAATTTAAGTTGACTTGGAGTTGTTTCCCTTCCTTAATTAAATGCATTGATATGAACTTTTTTTCTGTCTGTTTGAGTTTTAAGTAAAAAAAAAAAGTTATAATGGCTAAAAAACCCTATTGCATATTTAGACATTTAAAAAGTTTTGTGAAAGATCATTGTGTTTAGTTTTTGATTTATCTTTAGCCATACTTGACATGTGCCATACATATTCAAACCATGTAGGAGTTTTAGTGTGGCAATTTTGTATGATTAATGGTTAAAAAGAAAGAAAAAGAATGTCATAAAATATTTGAAGAATCACTTGATTGTCAACCATACATTATTATCATAGCTTTCTAGACCCTTTCATATAGATATCACTTGAGTATATGAGACACCATTGAATACACAGAGCATAATAGTTATATCAGTCTACATGACTACACTGTTTAACATCCAGTGGCAAATTAAATGCATATTCAGGATGAGAACATGTTTATGGGATAAAAATATGAACCCTGCTTTGTACCAAACCAACACACTGAGCCAGATTTTTAACGTGCTAGTTTACAATTTATCAGTCAGCAGGAAGACATTTCACTCTACTCTGACACATTAATTCGACTCTAAGCCAAGCAGTCTTAGCCCTTACTCCTTAATTCTGCCTTCTCAGTGGATGAAGCAGCAAGTATCACTTTGAAAGTCTTGGGTTTAACCCGGCTGGGTTTTGAACCCACAACCTTCTGCACTTGAGGCAAACACTCTTACACAAGGCAGTTATCTGAGTCTAGAAGAATTGAATCAGTTTGATTACCTATAATAGCTTGTAATTAGATAGTAGTATATACCGTTTGTTAAAGTTGAAGATTTGACCAGTTTCTGAAAATACATGTTAATGTTTGAGGCATTTTTGATATATTATTTTATGCTATACCACTATTAAATCAAATCATTAGTATTTATGTATATATGTATATGTGCATGTCAGATATTAATAAATATACTCATGAGATGTATAGATCTCTGATAGAATTTTGATTTAACATATACAGTATTAGGTCAATGTCAGACAAATATCACCTTTAAAGGCTTTTGATATGAGGCTTAGAAACTGGGGTAGGGTGATTTTTTCTGAGCCATTCAGCAGTTTCGTATGAGCCCAAGATTATTCAAAAAAGTGATGTGAGATAAAATCAACATTGTAGAAATATCACTTAATTACAGTATTAAGTAAATATGAACAACATGAATTGTTCTATCTGCAGTATAAAATAGGATATTTGTACATTGACCTGTTTATTTCAGCATGTTGTATTAGCATGTTTCTTAATCTTTTGACTTTCATGTTTTATAAAAAGATATTTTATATTTTAATCATCTGGTAAAAAAATATTTAGTTAATTATTTTCTCTGAAAGTTGAGACTAACAATAAGTGTTCACAAATTTATTTTTTATTTTTTGTTAGTATAAAGGCCATATTGATATTTGCTTACTGTAACTTTGGGTTATATTACACACTTAAATATTAATCACATTATTGTCACCATGTACATGTGAATATTAATCCTTTTTTAGCTCACCTGGCCCGAAGGGCCAAGTGAGCTTTTCTCATTACTTGGCGTCCGTCGTTCGTTGTTGTCGTCGTTAGCTTTTACAAAAATTTTCTCCTCTGAAACCACTGGGCCAAATTTAATCAAACTTGGCCACAATCATCATTAGGGTATCTAGTTTAAAAAAATTTGTCCGATGACCCCGCCAACCAACCAAGATGGCCGCCATGGCTAAAAATAAAACATAGGGGTAAAATGTAGATTTTGGTTTATATCTCTGAAACCAAAGCATTTAGAGTAAATCTGACATAGGTAAAACTGATTATCAGGTCAAGATCTATCTGCCCTGAAATTTTCAGACAAATCTGACAACCCGTTGTTGGGTTGCTGCCCCTGAATTGGTAATTTTAAGGAAATTTTGCAGTTTTTGGTTATTATCTTGAATATTATTATAGATAGAAATAAACTGTAAACAGCAATAATGTTCAGCAAAGTAAGATCTACAAATAAGTCGACATGACCAAAATTGTCAGTCGACCCCTTTAGGAGTTATTGCCCTTTATAGTCAATTTTTAACAATTTTTTGTAAATTATTGTAATATTTTACAAAAATCTTCTCTGAAACTACTGAGACAAATTTAACCATACTTGGCCATAATCATTATTAGGGTATCTAGTTTAAAAAATTTGTCCGATGACCCCACTTTCCAACCATCATGGTCGACATGGTTAAAAATAGAACATAGGGCCTGGGGTAAAATGCAGTTTTTGGTTTATATCTTTGAAACTAAAGCATTTAGAGCAAATCTGACAGGTGGCAAAAATGTTCATCAGATTTAGATTTATCTGCCCTGAAATTTTCAGACGAATCCGACAACCCATTGTTAGGTTGCTGCCCCTGAGTTAGTAATTTTACAGAAATTTTGCAGTTTTTTGTTATTATCTTAGATATCATTATGATATCTAATATCTAATACTATTAATTATGATTTTAACCTTATTTTACATGATTTCCAAAGCATCAGTAAATACAGGTGGCGACACCGGCTCTTGAGAGCCTCTAGTTTCAAAATATATGTGAAATTCTATGGAAACTATATGAAAATTGTACTTTGAAAAGAAAGATTCTATATCAATTCATTCAAGACAAGTTTCTTAAATATGCTCTGCTTATTGTTACTGCAATTAAAAAAACTTCTGTTGGTAGGTAGGTGTATATCAAGTGTTATGATATTTTTTATTTACATATATTTTTGTTATGGAATGAAGATTTATGTCTGCCTGCTTTGGACATCCATATTGAAATGTTGTAAATATTATATACTCAGGATACATATGAGGATCCAGATGCGGCACCAACCCCCCAACATGCTACAGTACGCAATTCAGCTTTGCCTCCTCTTCCAAAGGGAGCTAACCAAAAGTCTTTTGTGCCACCAGTGGAACAACAGGTTCACAAATCTAATTTTTTAGCAGGCTTTAGCACAGAGAATCTGGTTTCCTAAATGAGTGCTTTTAGTATTGCAGATTAAGCACACAAAATATATTTGTTGCTTTAATGTTTTATATGCACTGTAATATGCTTGATGTGGATTTATATTTATATATATACTCACTATAACAGCTTCTAACAGCTTTGTGGTGGAAAATTCAGAATTGTCTCACTGTTTTCAGCAATATGCTATTGTAAATTTGATATTGCTTTTGTTAGTGGATACATACTTTGAATGCCTTACAAATTTATAGTAGCTTGTATCTGAAGGATACACAGCAAAAGAATACTAGGTTCAATGAAGTATTTTAAACCATTCAGTAGATTTGCACATTCTTAATCCTATATACTAGTATTTGAATAGAAATTAACATAAGTATTAGAAATATCAAAGATATTAAAGATCTGGTTCTGTCAGTCAGAAAAAGTACTTTTGATAGACTAGTTTCAAGGGTGCTTAGAAAGCATTTTAAATCTGATGATGGTACTTAATTATGGATCTTAACTATCAGTAAATATCAAATATAGTTTCAAAAGTGCTTACTGAGTGTTTTAGATCAACCCCTTTACATAAACAACAGGCTGTATGTTACAATTTTTTACATTGTTTTTTTTTTATTTGAATTCTGTTGCAAACAGGCAAGACATATCTCTGTATTTACTTAAAAATATATATGAGTTTGAGTTTTGTTGTGTAGTTCTTATCACTAAAAACTTTAATGATTCTTACCACTTAGAACTTATATAATTCTTACCACTTAGAACTTTAATAATTCTAATCACTTAGAACTTTTATAATTCTAATCACTTAGAACTTTTATAATTCTAATCACTTAGAACTTTTATAATTCTAATCACTTAGAATTTATATAATTCTAATCACTTAGAACTTTTATATATCTAATCACCATCTGTTTTCACGGGAGTGTTTTCTTTCCTGTCTGTGCATTTAAATAATTAATTGAGTGATTGTGTATTATATTTGTAACTCAGCCAATATAAAAGAAAATCAAGCTTAAAGAATTTTGACTTTTAGCTAGTACTATAGTTCAGATAATGGATAAAACATATTTTACTTTAGTATTGCTGTTATTTCAACACATAAAGGATGATAAACAGTATAAATGTTCATGACAATGTCGTTTCAAGTAAATATGTCCGAAAGACAATGAAAAACTATTACAAGTATAGAAGTGTCTGTTATTTTTCACATGAAGTTTTAACTAATAGTTAAAACTAGTTTTGCTGACCATATGTTAATCCAGTGGTTATCTATCTATAGGATGTATATGAAGATCCAGATGAAGCCCCTCCACAGCCCACTCCAAGTAGAACCAAGATAGCAGCATTACCACCAACACCTAAAGCATCACAACAGAAGTCCCCATACCATGGGAGAAAGACTCCAGCAGCACCAAAACAAGAGGAATTTGAACAGGTATGAGAACACACCAAAACCTAGAAAAATTACAAGATAAATCCCCACACCATGACAAGATTGATTGAATGTTGGTGTTTTAACGCCACTTTTAAGCGCCACATTTGGACTATTTGCTGGCGGCCAGTTTTTATTGGTGGAGGAAGCCGTAGTCCCCGGAGAAAACCACCGACCTTTGATCCATGATAAGAAATACCACTACCAAACCAAGAGAAATTGGTAAACAAAACAGATGACACCTTAAATATCCAAGTACCTTTACCAAGCAAAAATAACAACCACCTCCAAAAAAGAAATTGGAACGGATGAGATATTTAGTGAGTTGAGGTAAGTATACCGCAAATATAACATGCAGAAGAAATCCTTACAAATGGAAATAAACTCCGTCAGTGAAAAACTAGAAATTCAACACCTGGGGTATATTACAAGAAAAAGGTTCAGTTTTTCTGTCTATCATTTTACCTTATCAATTCGCTGCAGAAATTTGATATCTCTGAACCTAATGCAGTTTAACTTTGTGGTAAAGGTGAGGACTGCATGCATACTACAGATTCTGTTCCCACTATATAACTAACATGTCATATTATATGTACAGTTCTCTCTCATCTTGGGTAGTATTAGGATTTAGTTATTTTATATATTTTTTATGGCCCCATTGAGAAGAGATGGGGGCGTATAGTTTTGTGTAAGTATGTACATTCAGAAATTGGTTTTAGGGGCTTACATGAGTAAGCCTACCCCAAATCATTTGAAATTTGCAGATGTTGTTCGGGATCACTACACACATGGGACGTCCAGTTGGAATTTGACCAATTTCACCTTTTTTTTTCAGAATTATGTGCCTCTGATAAAGCAGAAAATAGCATATATTTTTTTAATTTCAAGATAAAACCTTGAGTTAGCCTCCACCATATCATTTGAAATTTGGGAATTTTGTTCAACATAAGCATTCTTAGTTACTATGCTTATCAGGTCAAATGTGTTTGGTAAATAGTAAAATGTAATGTGTATATATCTCCTTGACAGGCACTCCTGATCTTGATCTCATTTTCATAATTCATTGCTCTAAGTTTAAATAAAAATATTAAGGGGTACATCTACTTGTCTTGATATTTCACATACAATCTTCAGAATTTTATGATGGAGTATAGAACATTTTCTTGTTTCAGGACAATTACTTGTGTATAAGTGTATGGATCTCTATGAAATTGTACCACAAGATTCCTTACCTCAAAAGGAAGGTTGGGATTGATTTTGGGGGTTTATGGCACAAACCATTTAGGAATTGGGGGCCAAAAAACAAGGATTTTCTGGTTTCCGGACAATAACTTAAGTATATGTATAAGTGTATGGATCTCTATGAAATAGTACCACAAGGTTTCATACCAAAAAAAGAAGGTTGGGATTGATTTTGGGGTTATGGCCCTAACCGTTCAGGAATTATGGACCAAAAAGGGGCCAAAAATAATACTTTTCTTATACTTTGTATAAATTGCTTATTTCTTGACCAATTTCAATGGGGTTTAATACAAAGTCTTGAATTATTGGGGTTCTTTAATATAAAGAATTTAACAGTGTATTTAGATTTGGATTTTGGGCTCCGTTTTTAAATTGGTCCACATTGAGGTCCAAAGGGTCCAAAATTAAACTTTGATTGATTTCATTAAAAATTGAATTATTGGGGTTCTTTGATATGCTGAATCTTACCATGTATTTAGATTTTGGATACTGGACCATAATAGGTAAATGTCCAATTTCAAATTTTTAAGTTCTTAGACCATATTCATTCAGTGTCAAAAACCTATGCTATGTCAAATATTTAATCACAATCTGAAATCAGAGCTGTATCAAGTTTGAATGTTGTGTCCATACTTGCCCCAACTGTTCAGGGTTCAACCTTTGTGGTTGTATGAAGCTGCGCCCTGCTGAGCATTTTAATTTTATTTATCATCCTATGAAAATTCATCGAAATGTTTTTAAAAACTTCTTTGAAACTGCTTTAATAGAGATTAATTAGAACTATGCATGGTAATTAATGATTACATTTTGATTTAATTTCCTTGGTTATTGACTGAAAGTACAACAACAACTTTCCTTCTACCAAGAATTTTGAGTTCTTAAACAACTCATGATTTAGTTACAATGTTCTTTTTCTATGAAAATTATCAGTATAACATTGAATGCTTCCTTTTTGGCAAACATTTAACAGGTACTGGGTGCACTATTCTCTGAAGTAACTAAGTTACTAATAGCATGTTCGTCTTTACTATGTTTATTTTAGTTGGAGTATGAGGTACCAGAAGAAGTCTTGAAAGGACAAATGCCACAGGATGACTATATGACAATGCAAGCTTCAGTAGGTCTACTTTATACTGATGAATATTATATAACATAATGGTTCTGTCAGTCAGAGCTAATCAATCCTGTAATGGAAATATATTGCTATCTTGTTATCAAATCAACATGTGTGGTCCATCATCCTGTAGACACATATATATTGCCAGTACAAAAGGTCATGCTTTAACATATATCGATCGATCAAACATATATATATATATATATATATATATATATATTAACAACACTTACGGTCCTGCACCCTGCTGACACTTATATTTTGGCATAGCAAAAGTTATGCTTGTTAATTGCTATCCAGTTATGAACATGCTGATATTCTGTTTTGTCATTGCACAAGGTCATGCTTTAAAATATATTGCTATTCAATTGTCAACATCCTGGTCCTGGTCCTGCATCCTGTCTATACTTATATTTTTGTAAAAGTCATGCTTTTTACTGCTATCTAGTTTTCAGCACTAAGTCTTGTGGTCCTGCATCATGCTGGTATATTTTGGAAATGCAAAAGTCAGGCTTTTTATTGCTTTCCAGTTATAAACACTTATGGCCTTGCTCCCTTCAATTTCCCTTTTCTTTCAGGGGATTGTATTATACCCCTGCTTTAAAAAAGCGGGGATTGTATTATACCCCCGCTTTAAAAAAGCGGGGGTATACTGTTTTACCTGAGGCTGTCTGTCCATCCGTTCGTCCCAAGAATATTTTTCGTCGCATCTTTCTCAGGAACTACATCATAAGGATTTCTGAAATTTGTTTTCAGGGTTTATATAGGTTAGCTATACTGTGTGATGTGTTTTCAGATTCATCACTCAACAACTTCCTGTTTACTGAACACTTACATCATTTTACACATGACATCCAAGTTGAAAATTTTCGTCACATTTTTCTCAGGAACTACATTACAAGGATTTCTGAAATTTTGTTTCAGGGTTTATATGAGTCAGCTATACCGTGTGATACGTTTTCAGATTCATCACTCAACAACTTTCTGTTTACCAAACACTTAAGGGCAGGGGTATCATCAGTGAACAGTAGCTCGCAGTTTCACTTGTTTTATTTAAAGTCTGGATTGAGTTGATAAAAGAAGTTTAGGTGATCTGGGCAGAACAGGTGAATTATTGTCCTCATTCTGCATCTGTGTTCCATTGGACAAATTTCACATTTTTCTCCAGTAATTATTTTTAGTCCAAACAGAACTAAACTGTAAGGTTGATTTATATAACATAAAACACAATTAAGTTTTATGCTGTTTTTTTCTCTGATGCGAAGAAAATCTTTTTTCAAATTTATTTTTATAGTAGTATCAGATTTTTGTTACTTAAGTTCTAACTTAAGTGACAATAATCTTAGTTTCCCATTTGAAAATTAGAAGACATAGATTGTTTGTAAGTTGCATGCCTCACAGGTCTTTGTTTTTGCATGCAGCATGGGTATAATTAGTTTCTATGAATGTTGGTTTATAGATTTTCTCTTACTGTAAATAACAAGTGTAATCTAAGCACATACCATGAAAGTATTTTTGAAGAACTTTCATTTTCCCCATTGTTAGTAGATAAATCATCGGAACCTTGTTTTCTAAAAGTTTGTTTGACACTAAACAAGAAAAGTGTTTTTAGAAAATGTCTTAATATTAAAATTTGTTGACCTTGATTACCTCCAAAATGGCTCAATTAATATCAGCAGATGTTTGGTGTGTAATTAGAACTTTAATCATGCATTTAAGGGAAGAAAACAAATAATATTCTCAAATATGTATTCTCAAATATGTATTTACAAGAGCTTTAAAATGAATACAGTTTGACTCTTTAATCTCCAGAGGTATCAAGGTTAGATATTTAAAAAAATTTTCATAATTTTTCACAAAAATTCAATAATTTCCAATTTTGAGCCTCCCTTTTCTGTGAAAACTAGCATTGTAACCCTTATTCGTATTATTTTTTAAAGGTCTCATCTCGGCCAACAACAAATTTCAAAATTATAAATAAAATAATATTTTTCTGTGAAATAGCTAACTTAGACAGACAAGCATTGGGTTGTTTAAGGATGAATGATATAATGTAGGGAAATAATGATTTATCAAGTTTTTTTCACTGTAAAATGTTAAAAATACCTTTGAGATTATGATATTAATTATATATGTTATATAATTTTGTTTGTATAGCCAGAAGATACAAAGAAAAAGAATAAGAAGAAAGGTAAAATGTTTATAAGAAAAATCATATTATTACACAATTCCAGAGGGGGGAAGGACCTTTTTCGAGACGTAGGGATTAGGCCTTTATTTTTGCAGGAATTTGGGATTGGGCCTTTATTTTCTCAGGTATTCTGGATTTACCCTTATCAGGACTCTTGAAGGAATGCTTTATTTTTTCAGTTTAATTTCTTCACTCTAACTTAAGTTTTCCTCATCCAAATTTTATGAAGCTCATACACAATGCTAAGAATCAAAACTAGAAGACAGAGTTCGACTTTGACAGTGAGTCACTTACCGTTCTAGAGGAATGCCCCTTTATAACTTGGAAAATTGCAATTTTTTTAATTTATGCACTTTTTATTAAGTTTACTTCATGCAAATTATTTGAACCTTATACACAATGCTAAGAACTATAATAGGCAGACAGAGTTCAAATTTTGGCAATGAGTCATTTACTGGTAAAGAGTTATGTCCCGTTATAACTTGGAAAATTGCAACACTTGAGCAGGGGAATAAGTGTCCTCAGAAACATTCTTCTTTTATATAGTTCTAAAATTTTCTATGGAATTTTTTGACAAGAAATTCTATGCATTTATTAAGCATCATATGTTGATTTCTTAGAAATCTTACAGTCATTATGAATCTTATGCAGAAATAGATATTAGATAACTATCAAAATTGTAAATTTTATCTGCATTGTAAAAACCGAATTTTTTAACAAATCCGAAAGTCCTGAGATAAAGGTTTGGTAGGCAAATATCTCTGTAAGCCTTCTTTGGACTGAAATAGAAAATTTATCAGGATGAAAAAAAATATATATAATTGCAATTTTTAATCCATGGCAAAAACTGAGAAGAAGTTTCAATTATTTTGAAATATTTATAGCATCATAGAACTGGTATGTCAGTCATCAAGCTATAAGATGAAAATCTTAAATAATCACAAAATTAGTTAAGAATAAAGGGAGATATTGGGCATATTTCAATGAGACAGCAACCCAAGGACAAAAAAAAAACCAAGGCATTTAGAGGTCAATACACGGTCGTCAACAATAGACAAGGTTAAGCTCTAAATCATCCGGAGTCTTGTAAAGTAGAGCATGAATTTATTAGTCTTTTGTAGTTGACACACGGGTACTGGTGTACAAAATTTTAATTCTGGTATCTATGATGTGTTATTTATTATCAGATACTATCAAAGATTTGTCATTTAACAATCAAAAGATATGTCATGAATATATATATCTTTGATAGTTGAATTATATTTACCTTATTGTTTTCAAATAATTTTGTTTGTTTGTTTATTTACATTAAACAGGTCACGAGGGTGTACAAGTCTTTCCAGTTCAAAATGGTAAGTTATAATACCAGGTATATAGCATGTTAAAGAAGGCGATTCAGTTATGAAGGAAATTCTGACAAGATTCTCCACTCCTATTGATTGAGATTAATCAATGAATGAGACTAATCACCAAAATTTGTACTTACCTCAAGCAAAATGAGGGGTGCAACTAGTAGATGAGGATCTACTTACCCTATAGGAGCATCTGAGATCAACCCTAGTTTTTGGTACAGTTTGTGCTCAGTCTAGTTTTTGGTCCAGTTGGTGCTCAGTCTAGTTTTTGGTACAGTTTGTGCTCAGTCTAGTTTTTGGTACAGTTTGTGCTCAGTCTAGGTTTCTAGTGTTTTGTGGATTTGTTTGTCTTTTTGCCATGACATTGTCAGGCTATCTATCTTTGACTTGAATGTTCCCTTGGTATCTTCTACCTCTATTTAGCTCACCTGGCCTTAAATGCCAAGCGAGCTTTTCTCATCACTTGGCGTCAGGCGTCCATCATTGTTAACTTTTACAAAAACTTCTCCTCTGAAACTACTGGGCTAAATTTAACCAAACTTGGCCTCAATCATCATAAGGGTATCTAGTTTATAAAAATGTGTCTGATGACCCCGCCTACTAACCAACATGGCTGACATGGCTAAAAATAGAACATAGGGATAAAATGCACATTTTGCCTATTAACTTGAAAACTGCTATGAAAAGAGAAAATCAAACAGGTGCAAAAATATCCAAAATGATGAGATCTACATATTGTCTATTTACTTCAAAACTGTCAGACGACTTCTTTTAGGAGTTATTGCCCTTTAATGGCAAATTTTACCATCAAAATTTTTGCCTATTATCTCGAAAAATTGTAAAAGATAGATAGAAACTTTAAAAAGCAAAAATGCTCAGCAAGACAAGATCTACAAATAAGTGTGAGCCAAAATTTGTTCCTGTGAAAAAAGTTCCAGTGGAATAAATATCACGGGAAATATATTCTGGGAGAACTTTTTTCACAGATAATTTCTATATAATTTGCTCCATCTCTATAAAACATGTTCCACAATTTACCTGGTGAAATAATTTCTGGGTTTGTGAAATTTGTTCCTTACCTGGTGAAATAAGTTCCGGGTTTGTTAGATTTGTTCCTTACCTGGTGAATTAAGTTCCATGTCTGTGAAATATGTTCCACTGGTTATACAAGTTATCTTTAATACTGAGCATTGTCATTAGTGAGTTTAAAGTTATCATTCAAGTTCATTATAAAAACATGTATTATATTGATAATTTAATAAATAAAAAGTGTAAACATCTAATATGGATACTGTGGACTATAGCAACATTTTAATTACACGCGATAAAAAAAACCAAATGACACTAATGAGGCAGAAAAGAGAATATGGAATGCTTTGCTTGATATAAGGTTAATGCATCATGTTAAATTATAACACCCATGACAGTTAACAGGAAACAAGAAGGAATACCACATAAAACATAAACAAAATATACAAATTATAATACATTACCATCGCTTTTATTTCTATTCTTCATCCTAGATTTGCAGTCATGCCTTCAATTGCAAATGTACCCCATACAAGCTCAGTACAGCATCCAGCTTGCATTATCATTTAAGTGTAACAAGAAAATATTCCGCTGTGAAATATGTTGCAAAGGAACTTATTTTCTGTGAAATATGTTGCAAAGGAACTTATTTTCTGTGAATAAGGTTCGAGCGGAACTTATTCATTGATTTCTATGAAATATGTTCCTTTGAAACTTATATCACAGGTCTGGAATTTATTTCACTTTTTTTAAAACATTTAATATTGGAACAAAATTCATGGAGCTGTGATTTATGTTCAGGAACTTAATATATTTGGTAAAAAAATTAGTTCCGGAACAAATTTTACAGTCTTGGAACATATTTCCTTATAATATTATTCCGGGTATAAATTTTCTGTGATATAAATTCTGGCGGAACACGTCACCCCAGGAACAAATTTTTTGTTACATAAGTCAACATGACCAAAATCAACAGACAACTCCTTATTAGAGTTATTGCCCTTTAATGACGATTTTTACCAATTGTTTCCGTATGTTCTTAATATCTTAAATACTATAATAGATAGATAAAAACTTTAAAAAGCAAAAATGATCAGCAAGACAAGATCTACAAATGTGCCATAATGGGCGAAATCTTCAGTCGACTCATTATTTTAGTAATTGGCCTTAAATGATTATTTTTATGCATATTTTATACGACCACAAAAATTTTTTGGGGATCGTATAATGGTATGATGTCGTCGTCGTCTGCGTCTGCGTCTGAGTCATCGTCCGAAGACACATTGGTTTCCGGACAATAACTTTAGTTTAAGTGATTGGATCTCTATGAAATTTTTGAAGAAGATTTAATACCACAAAAGGAAGGCTGGGATTGATTTCTGAGATGATGGTCCCAACCGTTTAGGAATTAGGGCCCAACAAGGGGCCCAAAACAAGCATTTTTCTAGTTTCAGGATGATAACGTGTGTTTAATATTTCAATTGCTCTGAAATTGTACCACAATGTTTAATACAATATAAGTAGAAGGTTGGGATTCATTTTAGGGGTTATGGGGCCAACAGTTTAGGAATTAAGGGCCAAAAAGGGGCCAAAAACAAGCATTTTTCTAGTTTCTAGACAATAACTTGTGTGTAAGTATATGAATCTCTCTGACATTCTACCACAAGGTTCCATATAACAAAGGGAAGGCTGGGATTGAGTTTGGGGTTAATTGCCCTAAACATGTAGGAATTAGGGGCCAAAAAAGGGCCAAAAACAAGTATTTTTCTAGTTTCTAGACAATAACTTGTGTGTAAGTGTATGGATATCTCTGAAATTGTACTACAAGGTTCCATACTACAAAGCAAAATCTGGGATTGAGTTTTGGGGTTATTGCTCCAAGGGGGGTTTCAAAAAGTTGGATGGGGGGGGGGGGGGGGGGGGTTTTCCCAATTTTTTTAAGGGATTCATATTTTTTTTTCAAAATTTTTTAAATTTTGAATTTTTGAAAAGTTTCAAGAAGAAATCTTCAATTGCACAGTTTTGCGCAATGGATTTATAAGATCTTTGACCACATTTATTTTGTATCAGAAACCTATATTATGTCAAAAATTTGATCACAATCCAAATTCAGACAGTATCGAGCTTGAATATTGTGTCCAAATTTGCCCCAACTGTTCAGGGTTCGACCTCTGCGGTCGTATCAGGCTGCGCTCAGCGAAGCATTTTATTGCCTATTATCTTGAAAACTATTATGATAGATAAATAGAAAATAGAAACTTTAAAAAGGAAAAATTAACAGCAGGATAAGATCTGTAAACATGTCAACATGACTGAAATTGTCAGTTAACTCTTAATAGAGTTATTCCGCTTTTATGATGATTTTTACAAAAAAGTTGCCATTATGGAAGATGCAGGTTAGTGACACGGGCTCTTTTGAGTCTGTAGTTTTATAATAGAATTCAGCCAATATTCACCTTCCTCCTCTCTTTCATTGAGACAAATCAAAGAAATTTCTGTCAAGATTTCCCTGTCTTTCATTGAGACATATCGGAGAAATATCAGCTAAGATTTCCCTTCTCTTTCATTGAGACATTTCAGAGAAATATCAGCCAAGATTTCCCTTCTCTTTCATTGAGACATTTCAGAGAAATATCAGCCAAGATTTCCCTTCTCTTTCATTGAGACATATCAAAGAAATTTCAGCCATGATTTCCCCTCTCCTCCCTATTTTGAGTCAATTTCAGAAGAATTCAGCCAAGATTCTTCACTTTTTATTGAGATTAGTCGAAGAGATTGAAGCCAAGATTCATTCCCACCCCATCCCCCTCAATTTGAATAAGACAATTTTTAATAAAAGAATTCAGCCAATGAGAGGATTCTGTAATGAGAAGGTGAATTCAACTGAAAATCCCCTCCCTATAAATGAGAATATTCAGTAATAAGAGGTGAATTCAGCCAAGATTCCCATTGTTGAAGTTAAAATTTATATGGCAAATGGATTTTGACTGTGCAAAAAGCACATTTGCAGTAGAAATTGTTTAAAGCAAGTACATTTTAAAGAAATGATAGTAAATATTCAGTTTTCTCTTAATGCTTTCAACTGTTTTCGTTTTGTTTATAAAACATGGTATAAAGTTACAGAACAGTTTTATTTTTTATTATAGGTCAGAATGCATCATTACCCCCCAGACCTGGTAAACGTAAGTATACAGTAAATCATGAAGATGTAGGAATGATTTATTTAAGTATCATGTTCATCCCCTATCCTTCTCTATACTGAACTTTGCAATTTTGAAAATGAAATATGTTTTGACATATATTTGTTTTTGGTTTTTTTCCATGCTGGCACACCTGTTTTCATAAAAGTATCAATCATTGACTCTTCAAATTTTTCTAATAATGTTTAACAGTGATGATTCTCTTTTACAGATAAACAATTACCCGTCCCTCCTATGGATACAAAACCTGCTTCTCCAGCAGAGGTTAAAAGAGAGAGTTCAGGTAATGAATTATCTCCCTTTACAAGAGAATAGAAGAAATTTTCAAAATATTTAATGCCTGTACCAAGTCAGGAGTATGACAGTTGTTTTCCATTCGTTTGATGTGTTTGAGCTTTTGATTTTGCCATTTGATAAGGGACTTTCCGTTTTGAATTTTTGTTGGAGTTCGGTATTTTTGTTTTTTTACTATTTAGTTATTAGTTTTCAAGTTTCATAATTGTAAAAATGAAAGAAAGAAGTTGGATCAGAGCCATTAGGTGGCCCATTGAATTACAGAAATGATAAAATTCTCAAGTCCATTCAAGGGATGCATTGGACATAGAAATATCAGGTGGTGCCATAGTCTTGTATTAGTGCTCTCATGTATACAATTCTTTCCAGATATTTATGAAATTTAAATAATAATTGATTTATTATAGCAATGTCTCTGATGAGTTATGAAAATCAGTGCCGATCATTTATTTTTTAAGGAATTTAGATACTATATGGAAAGTCTCATTGTAAGGGATCTCACATCGACATTTCTTGTAGGATATTTATGAAAAAGTTTTAAAAGAACTACAAAAAATGTTTTTAAGTTATTGCTCTTAGAAAGATAAAATATGTTTAGTTTAAACACATTTATTTTCTAAAAAACTTAAAATAATCCTCTTCAAATAATTACATTAAACAAAAATTTTAGATGACAGAATATATATATTATATCTAAGTACAATTAGAAAAATAAACACAAGAAATGAGTTATGGATCAACATGAACATGTACACATGATAGTCCATCAGGGCATCTTCATCATCCGCCCGTTCTTTCAACAACGTTTCGTCACACTTTCCTCAGAAACTATAAAACAGACTGACTTTTGCTTAGATTTATGATACATGTACCTTCTCCTGAATAAATATTGGACTACCTATGAATTAAAAGCACATTGTTACTTTTAAAAAAAATGACTACAATATATTTATTATACCCCCACTTGAGCAAAGGGGAGGGGGCTATATTACAATCGCCTTGTCTATCCGTCAGTCTGTTCTCCCAACAAATATTTTTGTCACACTTTTCTCAGGAACAACAACACTTTGTTCACTTTTTTATCTGTTAGCCACATGCTTCCAGTTTGCTGATACTTGGAGTCTTTCAATATATTGAAAGAAAACAAATATTTTTCATCACTTTTTTCTCAGGAACTACTGAACAGATAATTGTTTATTTGGTCAGCACCTTGATGGTGCTGAGTAAGTAGTTATTAACATGTGTGTGTTTTTTGTATCTGTCAGACACCTACTTCCGGTTTTCTAATACTTTGAATTACAAGTGGGGGTATGCTCATCATGACAACACATGCATTCTTATCGACATATTTATAATAGAATTATGTCAAACTTGATCATATCATCCCTTTTTAACAAAAAGTTTATTTTCCTCCACAGGTAGAACAAAGGTAGAGAAAGTCAATAAAGCAGTGAGTAATTTACTTCATCATATTTTTTTTATTAATTTCAAAACTCATATTTCTTTTTATTCTATTATAAAGATATTTAATCAGGTTGGCAGATTAAGCAAAAATTGGTTTCCATGAGCATTTGTGAATGTACAAAGGATGTGTTTTTTTTCTCTTTCAATAGGCAAAAGACGAGATTAAAGTGAATATTAATATATAGAGAACTCAGGTATACACCAATAGACCACTTTTGCTTTCGTTGCATTTCCGTCAAAAACTTTGGTTTTAGTGAACATCATTCATGCATTTAGGGGCATCATCACTTCCTTCCCATGTTGAGCGAGCGGTTGAAAAAATATGATGCTATATTACACGAATTATTCGGCAAATTAAATTCTTATAATTGATAATCAGCACTGCTGTCATTAGGGAATTGTGATTAAGTACCTACGGAACAAACATTTCTAGTTTATCCTGCATAATGACGATCACGAAGACGCTTGATGAACTTTAATAATGCAGGGATACAGGAGATCCCCTCTATCTGGTAAATGACGTCATAAAGGTGTGCATAATTGACAAACTTTTCTGGTGAAGGACACAACTCAAAAGTGGTCTATTAGACAGCAACCAAACAAATAGATAAATGAAAAGACATCAATAGTGAACATAGGGAAGTTATGAACAACAACACAATGGGAGGCAAAGAACAGCTTCCATGTCTTTTTATGCCCCACCTCCGATAGTAGAGGGGCATTATGTTTTTCGGTCTGTGCGTCCGTTCGTTCGTCCGTCCGTTTGTCCCGCTTCAGGTTAAAGTTTTTGGTTAAGGTAGTTTTTGATGATCAACTTGAAACTTAGTAAACATGCATGTTTCCTATGATATGATCTTTCTAATTTTAATGCCAAATTAGAGTTTTGACCCCAACTTAACGGTCCACTGAACATAGAAAATGATAGTGCCAGCCTGGCATCCGAGTACTATGGACACATTCTTGTTGTTAATGGATAGACAAACGGCTTTTTGTTAAAACTCCATATGAATAATAAAATTGATTAAATTTTGTATTTCAATAATCAAATAAGACATGTTTTATAATTTCAGTAATCAAATAAGACATGTTTTATAATTTCAGTTATCTTTAGAAGAACAGCCATGGTATCATGGAGAAATAGAACGGAATGTTGCTGATAATAAATTGTTAGGAATAGGAACAGTAAGTTGTTGATGACTTTTAATGTTGTTGAACAGTCACATAGAATACATGGAAAAAGTTAATAAAACCATTTCTGTACGATGAAGGCTAATCATAGGAAATGCACAATAATCAGTCAATATTGACCATGTGCCCTTAATCCGTAATTTGTATTCAACATAATAAACCAATATATTAATCGACCAGTTCTGAAATACTTCTACTGCAATTTTCATAAATCTGGAATCTGATCTTCTGTGCATAATTTCTTCTCTTTGTAATAAGTTTCAAATTACATAAATAATTTCAGCCAATAGAATCATCTGTTATATTTGCCACATCTTAGAAAGCTAATCATAATTGCTTTTGTTAAAATATAAATTTTAAGATGACAAGTTTATCTTATAAACCTTAAAGCTTTGCATTGTACTGTATCAAAGAATAATTGCAATTACTGAAAAAAAGTTCAAAGTTCTCAACCTGTTCAATTCTTCTTGTTCTTGTTCTTGACATTCCTTTCATACAGACCAGAACTTTTTATCTTTTTGACATTCATTTATGATACATATAGATTCTACCACTGCTTCAAGTGTGATAGAATATTTCTCCACTTGAAACTGTTAAATTTTCAAATTTAAAAGGCGTGGCTTGACAAGCTTTTTAAATATTTAATTTTTTACTGTTGAGAATTGAAACAAATTGGAATGCACAAGATTCGGTGGTATAATCTGTTTCTCTAATGATTTTTAGGCATAAGCAGACAAACTTTATCTTTCTTTTTCAATGATCAAAAAGATGTGTTCTTTATATGTGACTTCATCAGGTATGTTAACCTTTTTACATGACGTCACAACAGGGTTTCAGAGGATAGCAAAAACATTTCATAAATGAATTTTGACCAATGGAGAACTGAGATCAAACGAACCACATGTTGAAAATAAAAAAATAATCAACCGGTCAGGAAAAGTATAAATCAGGTAAAAATTAGAGAAATGTATCTAGCATATTGGTGTATAACATAAGTTGATATATTGCACACCATTAAACCATCATATCTGACATTTTATCATGTTTATGTTACATATCGTTGAGACTGAAATATTAAAACATAACAGTGATAATTATTCAGGGCGCAATATCTGCTCAAACTTGAACTTGAAAGGGAAACATGTGTTTTAATTCACATAAGATTTTATAGTTACATATATCTTGTTTTCATTACAGAATGGGTGCTACTTAATAAGAAAAAGTAAGAAAGGAGGAGAAACAAAGCCATACACTTTAGCTATCTTTTATGAGAGTCAAGTTTTCAATCTGAATATTAGAAAGAAACCAAACCATCAGTATGCTTTAGGGATGGCCAAACCCGGTGAACAGGTACGTTATTTTATACATATATCATATATCATTGATTGTGCATTGACATACAAATTTATAACCTTGAAGGCTTCAATTACACAACTATTAAGTACAAATATGTGCTAAATTTGTCCAGACTTTCAAGATAGAGTTAGGAAAATTCCAATGCTGTTAGTTGATAGTCTTCTGATTTTAGAAGTTAGTTGAGCTTGTATGAGTCAGATAAAAATAAATAAAATACCACCTTCTAGTTCTACAATATTGCAAATAGTATAAAAATACACAACAAAAAAGAATTTGATTCTATGTACAAATTTAGATGGTACATATTGTATCAAACAAATGGCTAATGTCTAAATATGTCTGATTATTATAACCTGTCTCCAAAATATGCTGGTTACGGAGCAACCATTTAGCTTCAAGGGGGGAGTTATGGTTTTTTGTCTGAGTCAGAAAAAAAATTTTGCGTTTTTTTTTTTGTTTTTTAATGCTATCAATCAAATTATTTTTTCAAAATTTTACACTATAAGGTTTGGGGAAAATTATGGATTCAGAATAATTTTTTTTGTCATCTGCTTCATCAAATTTTGGATCAGAATATTTTTTTTAGGAAAAAATCATAGCCCCCCTCTTGAAGTTAAATGGTCTTTTCCATAACCTCTGTCTGTCACTTACTGTGGCATTTTTCGCGGCAACTACTACTTATAACTCTGATATTTGGTTTCAAAAGTTACTGTAGACGAACTTTACAGTGTGATACATTTTAAGATCTGCCCCACATTAACATCTTGTAGTCTTTAATCTTAAGATAAATCTATTAATTTCAATTGTGCCCATCTGCCACAAATTGCATTTGAATTTTTCTTAGGAATTACACTGATATTAACTTGATATTTGTTTTAAAAAGATAACAAAGACACAATCAAAATGCATAAGTTGAAGAGAAACTGGCAACACCATAGCAAAAAAAATACCCAAAAAGCACAAAAAGACAAGCAACAGTCTACAAAATACATTGAAAACTGAAAACTAAGCAAAACAAACCTCACCAAAGAAAGTTAAGCAACAGTCTACAAAATACATTGAAAACTGAAAACTAAGCAAAACAAACCTCACCAAAGAAAGTTAAGAAGATCCTGGAATACATATGGCACCCATCGTGTTGGGAAGAAGATCCTTGATTACGTATGGAACCCATTGTGTTGCTCATAGTAAGCCTGGATTACATATGGCACCCATCCTGTTGCTCATAGTAAGCCTGGAACATAGGGCACCCATCGTGTTGCTCATAGGAAGTACAAATACAGTGGAAAGTCTCATTCAGTAATGACGCAATTAAGGAAAAGAGGATATGCTTGTGGCTTCGACAATTAGAAAATATACAAGCATGGTCACCTGTGTGACAGAAATATTCAGTAAAGGTCATAACAATTCATTATGTTGTCCACAAAACCTTTGCAGAGATAACTTCAACTTTACCACTACGAATCATTAGTTCACTTGCTTTCTTGTTAGCCTAGTAAATACAGAAAATTTTAATTACATTATCCTTCAAAGCCTCTTGATATTTTGTATGAGTCTTCATCTATGTCACCCCATGATGCTTCAGATGTTTCTGCATTTACTAACTCTTTGACAAATTGTATTAATTAGTCCAAATGCAATTAGTAGTGTGCAGTAATTGCCAGTAGCCTGAGTTTTATGGATTTTATTAACTGTATTATTAATACTGATTTTATTCTGTTTACAGGAATTTTCAAATCTTATGGATTTGGTAACATTTTTTCAAGGACACAGATTGATATTAGCTAAAGGACAAACAAGATTAAAAGTACCTTGTCAATAATAATGGAGAGATTGGACTAATATTTTGCTGTGATATTGTATCAGTGACATTCCATACAATAAAATCTCATAGTTACATAACACAAATAGATATGTGTTGGTGCCATTTATTATATAAAAATCTCATAGAGCCATAAAAAAAAGATATGTGAAAGTGATATTTCTGTAAAAAAATCTTGCATATCCATTTAACAAAGATATGTGAAAATGACATTTATTGTTTAAAAATCTCACATATCCATAAAACAGAAAGATATGTGAAAGTGACATTCCCTGTATAAAAATCTCAGATCCATGAAACAAATATACATGTGTGGCTGTTATTTCTTATGAAGGGATCTCACAGTCATAAAACAAATAAATATTTTACATCACAGTCATGATTTGAAAAAAAAATATTATTGCATCCTTTCTTTGTTGAAACTTTAATAATATCACATATTATTGAACATCTATATGATATGATATGTAAGATATATATATATATATCTAAAAATATTACCTAAAAATACTAATTATACATCCACTTTAGTTTAAAAATGATTATTTTTTTTACCATCTGTTCTTCCCATACCTTACATGGTTACGATTATATATTTTGGGTTGATTGATTGTTGTTTGCTAAACTGCTAGTGGCAAATATTGCATCATGTTCAGGAAGATAAAGATTCTGGAGCACAACTTGCCAGCTGGTTATTGTGCCCTGGAAAAATATCTTTTTGAATTATCCAATCAATTTTTTTATTCTCGAATTTAAGTTATTTTAAATTGATTTAATTCATTATGTATGTGAGAGAGAAGATATTTACACATTTTTATTTTTATTTTTGATAATGTTCATATTTAGGTTACTTGTTCACCATAACTCTGCCCCCCATCAATTGAATAACACCCTTTTACCACAGCTTGCAATAAGTTTGATTGGTTTAAATTACTTTGTCTACATGTTCAATATGTTTCTTCCTTAACTTGTCATTCAATTTTAAATTTACATTGAAGTGATATACATGCCTTGAGTTAAAAAGACAGAGAGAATTTGTATGTTACATCCACTATACCTTAGCAAGGTATCAATGTGATGACTTTCAGTAACAAAGCATTCCATGTGAAATGTTTAGAATACACAACATATTGCAGGTTTGTTGTAGACAAGGACGTATATACTATATACCTTCTTGTTACACTTGCAAACATTGTGCCATTGTATTTTTATATGATCTTCATGTATTGAATTTATTTACATTGTGAAGCAGGATAATTTAATTGTGTATCTTATTGATTTTAAAAGATATAAGGTATAATAATGATCATATAAATGAGTTATGTCCCTTGTGTTTATCACACGAAATGTTTTTAAGTTGTTATTTGGCTTGATTAGAATCTTATGGATTTAAAAATAATGAATGTATGATTGAGTTATGCCCCTTACATTTATGTACGGTAATATGTTTTCAAGATATTTTTATTCTGCTTGATTTGAATCTTATTGATTTATAATAATATGCTGTTAGAAAAGGAATGTATGATTGAGTTATGTCCCTTAAATTCATCCATTAAAATATGTTTTCAAGATAAATTCATTTTGTTTGAAAAGAATTTGTGTTTTGTTTAAATGCAATTTTTTGACTTTGACATAAATAATGTTGCTGCCAATTTTATTATGTCTTATACAGAACATTTACTATCTTATGCTGTTGTCATCTTTTTTTATATATTATTTCATGGTGTAACCTATTCACTTGACGTCAATACTTTATACATGGCTTGAAAAAAGTAGAGTTTTATGACTGGTTCTAATTCAAATTACAAATTGAAAGTACATTGTATATTCTTTAAATTTTGGTAATTTTTGTCATAAAAGATAATTAAATATTCAAAATTTACTCTAAATCTGGAAACCTCCTTATTGTACCACTGGCACAGCATCTGGGTTAAAAAATGTTGGGTTTTTTTTAACGTCTGAATTGTTGCATATAGTGTGAACCTGACATGGTTCTTACCCTGTAACCTATAAATAATATTATCTTAATACTTTTCATCGCAGAAGATATCCTTGAAAATGAATGTAGAACAATTGAAATAAAAACTTGTACATTATTTTTTAACTCTAAAGTTTTTAACTATATTTATTCATAACAATTAATTTGAATATTCTAAGGAAGATTATACAACCAATGAAACGTAACTAATGTTATATATATATATTTACTGTTATATTGATGCAGAATTTATGATTTTTTTGTTGTTGAATTGCTCAGAATGTCTTTACATTATATTAAAGACTTAGAATCATTATTTGTTTTTATATTGTTTTCTTTTAACAGAGAAGGATGGCAGGAGATAATTAGACATATTTTTCAATTCCAAATACTGTATACATAGTTAAAAAGTATTAACAAAAATGTCAAACTAGAAGGTAAATTTAAAAAGGGGGGAGTTAATAAAACCTGACAGATTCAAATGTAAGAATATAAAAACCAATAGAACGAATGGAAAACAACTGTCATATTCCTTACTTGGTAGAGGCATTTTGAGAAGAAAATGGTTAAATCTAATTAATTTTACCTACATTGCACAGGGCAAAAGCAGATCTAGAAACGGCTCAATGTCAATTGTTCCTCTGAGAAGACCTTGGGTAGAAATCTTTGCTTTTACAAATGGGAATGATATATTCAGTCTGCAGCTTCTTAATATTGAGTTTTAGCATGTAAGCAATTTTACATTCGCAGTGCAGCCACTGTTTGTTTTTCAAAATAAAACTTTACAATACTCATTGTGCCAGGACATTTTTTATAAAACATTTCTTAGCATCAATGATTTTAGGGTATGCTCAGTAATGCTTCAGTGTACATGTTACCTCAATCACCTGCATGCGGCAACTCTTGTCCAGACATGGTATTGGTTTTTTTTTTTTTTTATTCTCAGCAGCATCTGTATAGATTGATAAAAGTGTATGATGACCTTTCGCATCTCTTATTTCAGTTGTCATCTGAATGCATGATTTTTTAGTTGTCTTTAGTGATATCTACCACTATAGGGTAGTACACTTTGTATCAAATTCTCCTTGACACCTCATCAAACTTTAATGAACCTTTCTCAGTAGCTCCAGTGACCGTATAATGCCAATATGCACCTCCTATTTGCTTTTTGAAACAAATTATTACTGAGGGTTCCCTCATCAAATCATTGACTTTATCATTGTTTATCTGGGGTACCTATTTTGTGTTTTGGCAACTCATATTAAAACTTATAGAAGTTAAGAACTCATTAAACTATTCTCAATATCCTAAACATATAATGCCATTGTGCATCATGTATTTTATTTTAATCCAAATTATTTTTTGGGTTCCCTCAGCAAATCATAGACTTTACCATAGCTTTATATGGGGGTGGTCATCATTCCTAAGGAAGGGGGGCTGTTCATCTTGTTACCAGTATAACATTTGGGAGTAATTCACTATAATTTTTAAAAAATACAATCATGAACCAAACATTATAATTTATAGATAAAGGACAATAATGATGATCTGAATGTGTATAGTTCAAGATTTGTTTGACTAAAAGATGTTTGTTGTTCAAAAGTAAGTAAATTTCATGGTCCACCTAATAAACACGAAAAACTCAATTAGATATCAGTTCTCAACAAGAAGTGTCAAGGATGAAGTGCTTTTAATCTCTGGAAAAATGCAAAGAATAGTTGTTCTATAGTAATTTTAATAAATTGCAATACACGTTCTTATTTCCAACCTACAGGTAGTTTAACCTTATTCATAAAGTTTGAATTGATGTATATATATAATGGTTTTTCGGACCCACCTACAAAAGTAGGCGACATATAAGTTTTTGTTCGGTGCATTCATCTGTTAGTCACTCCGTTAGGTCTGGATGACATTTGTCTCGTGGTATCAAGTGTAAGTATTGGTTTAAAGTAGTTAACCTTGAAGTTTCAGTCAACTTGAAACCTAGAACATAAGTTTATTATTATGTGAACTTTTGAAAAATATATGAGAACTAAGGGTTTATATCAAGATTTGATGGTTCAAAGAACATGAAAATAGGATCGTATGAAATCAGTACATTTTTACCAATCATCTGCGTTTCGGTAAAACAGAAAAACAAACAGGAAGGGAAGCTAACTGCTTAGGGTCAAATTCCAGCAACAACTTATGTTCTACAAGAAACGTACATCTGGCATACCAAATTATTAGCCTGTTATCTATTGAGTTTAAACAACCACTGGATTGATGCCTCTACTGGTGGTGTCGAACCCCAAAGATCTCACTAGACCGGTAGTCAGCACTTTTCTATTGACATAAGATATCATTCATTATCTTTATTTTCCGTAAATTTACTATTGAAAAATAGTTGAATTTTTCGAAGAACTTAAGCACATGTATTTGGCACAACCTTCCGATTTTTTTTCAGTATTTTTAGTGCTCTTCAACTTCGTATTTGACCTTTAATCTGTTTTATTTCGAGTTCCACTAATAATTCTTATTTAGACAAAATAGATTTTTTTGTTTATTATGTTCATACACATCAGATGGTCATCTCAGATTCAATTGTATTATTACTTCTCCCTGTTCTGGGAAATCTTTTTTTTTTTTTTGCTCCTTCTAAAACTTTGTTGTCGTTGTTGATATGGACTGCTGTAGGAAGTAATAACAACAGATTATATACTAAGTTTGATAGTGTACCTGTACTATTACTGATCTGTTTCAGTCTTGATTCCCCTGTAGATATAAAAAGATTATTTGGTTTAGCTACAACCATAGTACTGGATATAGTGTTCAGTTTATTTCCTTTTGATTTTGGTTTCTGTATCACACCATCAGTACAACTCCCAATCTACAATGTTGTATTGGGATCATAATGATGATGATGGATGGCTGCTTTACGTCCAGTGGCAAAATAAATGCATATTGAGTACGAGAACATAATTATAATTGTAATATGAATATTAACCCTGCTTTGTACTAGTCCGACACGCTGAGCCGGATTTTCAACGTGATTATTCACAAGGAAACCTCACCTTGCCGACCAGTCTTTTCTTTTAATCCCTAATGCCACATACTTAGTGGTTAAGCAGCAAATACCAATTTTAATATTTAGACCAGAACATAGATATTACACAATAAGAGATAAGTTTCAAATGTTGAATTAACTACTATGACAACACCATATTCAACAGATTGTTTCTCTTCACCTAGTAACCCCTTAACATTATGAAAAAATAAGAAGATGTGGTAAGATTGCCAATGAGACACCTATCCAACAGATTTCCAAATGAAATGGGTGTAAGCAATTAGACTGTTTTTTTTGGGAGTTAGTCAACAGGCAGTCGCAATGAAAAAAATAAAATTACACCTTTGAAAGATCTATTCATATAAGGTATGACAATGGGATAATCAACATACTGTGTTCATCCTAAAAGCGTTGCCCTTTCACAATACCAATTGCTAAATGTTTTACCAAAATTGCATTTTGAATTCATCTCTACAAACTGATCAACTGGTAAAACAGTTTAGCTCATAGCCAGTGAAATGTATACAAAAGTCGCAGAATTCGAGACATATGGATTACTATCCTACAGCTACGGCATCAACTATTGGTATAAAGCTTTAATTTTAAAAGATAGAAGACCTGGATGCTTTATACCTTGCATCATGTTACGAAGTTATGTATGTCATATGTCCATTGTCCTTGACATCATTTTCATGGGCATTGGCTCAGCCACTGCTTGGAAAACGTGTATTTTTATTTTGTCATGTGAAATACTATCTTATTATCAGTTATAGGATAAATTCATTTGGTATATGGGACTTCCGCAAGGTCTGCCTGTCCGTCAGACAGGGTTCACCTGACCTTGACCTCATTTCATGGATCAGGGATCAGGGTTAAGTTTCTGTGGTTCAGTCCTTATCTCAGATACTATAAGCAATAAATCAGCTGTATTTGGTGTATGGAATGATTGGCTATATTTTCCCGTTTGGTCAATTTTACAGATACTATATGCAATATGGTGTATTGAATGATTGTAAAGTGTGTATGTCTTTCTGGCATGTTTCATTTGACCTTGACCTTATTTTCATGGTTCTTTATAGTTTTGTCTGTTTTGTTTATTTATCGGTTACTGTAAGCAATAAGGCAACTATATTTGGTGTATAGAATGATTGCTTTGTGAACATGTTGTCTGGCAGGGTTCATCTGACCATGACCTCATTGTTTTGGCCCATTGATCTATCTTCAATATTTGTAATTAAGATAAATGTACTTTAACAAAAGCCTAACTATGTTTGGTGTATGGTATGATTGTAAGGTGTACATATCTATCTGCCAGGGTTCATTTGACCTTACATTTATGGGATACTTGTAGCAAAGCCTTCATATTACGGGCTTTCAACGTAAATTTAATCACTATAAGAAAAGTAGACGGGGCATTTCAACATGTGCACTCTTGTTAACAATTATTTAAGTATTATTATTATTAGGCTGGGATGTACCATGCATATTAAAACAATGTTATAATTTCATTTCCTCCATAAATATAGTTATTTAGCTTATGATTTTGAATATACTTCTTAATTAGATATAAGAAGATGTGGTATGAGTGCCAATGAGACAACTCTCCATCCCAGTCACAATTTGTAAAAGTAAACCATTATAGGTCAAAATACGGCCTTCAACACGGAGCCTTGGCTCACACCGAACAGCAAGCTATAAGGGGCCCCAAAAATTACTAGTGTAAAACCATTTAGGGACTTATCATTTTTTATCTGGGAGGGGGGCTGGTCAAAATGCAGGGGGGATCAAGTTTTTTTTTGTGTGTGGAAAAGGGGGGTTCAAATTTTTTTATAAATTCAAAGTGGGGGGATCAATATTTTTTGCACATGGAAATGAGTAGTTTGCATACTTCAAAATACAAAATGTGAAGAAGAACCGATGATAACAACAGTCAAATGGAAATATATTTTTACCACCATTCATATCATGACAATTAAGTAAGACATCACATATGACTTAGGTGATGTAGGAAGCTGCCATTTTTGTGTCATTTTGTCCCATATAAAATGCATAGGTGCTTCATAACCCGAATAATCCAGTCGTTATACCGTATATCGGGTTTTTTTTCGCGTGTGTTTAATTTTCGCTTTGTTCGCGGCAGCTTAAGAAACGCGAAAATTTGACCCCGCGTAAATTTCACTGCATATTCCCAGATTCGTTGTTTTTTTAAAGTTTCATACATTAAACTGTTGATTATCGAGTCTTTTGTGTTGTTTGGTAGATCATAAGAA